CAAATATCTGAATCTAACAGATTATGTAAACCAACAAACAAACTTGTAAAAAAAAACTGCAAAGACTTGTAGAGGAGTAAAAAATGTGCTTTGTTCTAGCACATCAAGGATTTAAAAACTGAAGTCAATGACAAACCATTGTTAGCAAAGTTTTTAGAAGAAACTTTCAGGCTCGTTCGCAGTTCTTGTTTTCCAAGATAAAAGTCACTAGCATTTTTGCGGTAGGTTTTTTGTATGGCCAACTCTGTTGGAGAAAAAGTAAATAAAGACGAAATTAAGGGTAATATATTTTCAAAGAAATATCTTTCGTGTCGGTCCGAGAGTAAGCCATAATCCAAATATGGTAATTACACTTGTTTGAAAGCAATGTATTCAATACATAATCGTCCAAAAAGTACAACTGCCATGAGATCATCAAGACATCGGAAAGCTGAGATTTTAGTGCTTTTCAACATTCTAATCGCTGAGAAAAATTGTCCATTATCACTATGATTAATCTAAAAAATGGTCAACGGGAAGGATGAACCGGCTTAACAGCACTGATCAATTAAATGAAATCATCAAAGCCGCCATGATGTCATTGGTCAAAGCGTCAGTCAATAAACAGTGTGAGTAACGGATTATTTAGAATCCGAACGAATGATCATGCTCTGACTCACCTAGTTTTCGGCTGTTTATCTCCACTGAAGAATTCGCTCCGTTCATTTGGTGTTTGCCATAATTAAGGACGAATAGCTCCAAGGCGACTGCCACCTTAAAGATGTAATTTCTAATTTTTTCGACTTCTTCTTTGGTAAGAAGTTTTTGGAGGATTTGGATACTAGTGATGAAGTCTTCAAAAATCCGTGTAGCCTCCTGTAATAACATCACAAATTTTTGTTAAAAAAGGATGACATTTTAACAAAACAGTTTGAGGTAAAGGTAACGCATTAATTGTACTAGCAAGGCCCATATTTCGTCTACTCCTAGTTAGATTATGAAAAAGAAATTGCTAGAGAAATGAATAAAAACCAAAAATGGGTAAGAGAACAAAAATCCTGCAAGATTGTCAAATGGTGTGTAGGATGTGCACAAGTTAAGGAAGCAATTATTTCGCTCGTATCGATTCATATCTTATTGATGATAATAATAACGATAGTGATAATGACAATGTTGTAATAATCATCATAATGACAATGAGGACAATGGCGATAATGATACAGTCTTGTTTGCTCTTTTCAAATGAACTCGAAGTTTTTTTCAAGCTTAGAAACTGCTGTGTTGCATTGGTCAGTCTTTCTAATCATTGCTCATTTCATGTATACTAAGTGGATTAATCATTAAAGATAAGCAAGTAGTAAGTTCATACCATCAAGGACAAGATTCTATTCATTTCTTTTCCTTTTAGTTTGGAAACAGTTTTGTTGGCCTGAGATAAAGAAAGACAATAAAGTTGGCGAACAACAATATTGTAAATAAAAAGCTTGAGAGAAATACTTTGCTTACCAGATTCTTAATAACTTCCAACGTCGATGACAGAGGTGTCCGTAGAGACGGAGACGATGATGATCCTGCTGCCGATGTTTCCGATGATAATGACAATAATGATGATGATGCTGGTGCTAATATTGCTGCTGGCTTTGATAATGATGGTGATAATGCTGATGAAGATGCTGATGCCCCTGCTGTTGATGTTGCTTCCAATGATGTTGCTGATGCTGATACTGATATTGCTTCTGGCTTTGATAATGATGCTAATAGTGCTGATGTAGATGCTGATATCCCTGCTGGTAATAGTGCTGCTGATGGTGGGTGTGATGAAGATGATGGTAACGGTAAGATAAATGCTAACGATGACTGCGACATTGATTGTAAGAGAGCTGAATGTTGAAAAACATTTAACTGTTAAAATAAAATTGACGCTATGGTAGGGCGCGAAGAATTTTAAAAGAAAATATTTTCTATTTCTTTTTTAGAATCTTTAACACTACTTCGTAAAACAAAAAAAGAGTGTTGTAAGTATTCAAACTATTATTGTACTTACTGTGAGCTTCTGTTCCATTTCCTGTTGAAATTTTAGTGGCAAATACTCGAATTGTTGAGGCCCCAATTGATGTAACGATATTCGACGTGTATGAATCTGAAGTGATGGAGTGACCGTCACACATCTGCGTACAATCGTTAGCGTTAAAATGCGTAATGCACTCCTGTACTTTCTCTGTGCAGCTTTGTGTTTTACATCTTCTCCCGCTGCAGGTCAGGTTACATACTTTGGCATCGCAGATTTGTTCACAATCCTGGCTGTTACATATTAAATGCATTTCACATATATTATCTTCACCTTGGCACTTTTGTCTTCTACAGTTTTTCCCGGTACAGTTCAGATTACATTTTTTAGCCTCGCAAGTTTGTTCACAATCCTGACCGTCACATTCTAGATCCATTTCGCATACATTTCCTTTACCTTCACACTTCTGACTTTTACAGTTTTTCCCGGAGCAGTTCAGATTACATTCTTTAGCGTCGCAGATTTGTTCACAATCCGGACCGTTACATTCTAGATCCATTTCACATTCATTTCCTTTACCTTGACACTTCTGTGTTTTACACTTTTTCCCGCTGCAGTTCAGTTTACATTCTTTAGCGTCGCAGGTTTGTTCACAATCCTGACCGTTACATTCTAGATCCATTTTACATGCATTTCCTTTACCTTGACACTTCTGACTTTTACAGTTTTTCCCGGAGCAATTCAGATTACATTCTTTAGCCTCGCAGAATTGTTCACAATCCTCACCGTCACATTCTAGATCCATTTCACATACAGTTCCTTTACCTTGACACTTCTGTTTACAGTTTTTCCCGCTGCAGTTCAGATTACATTCGTTAGCGTCGCAGTTTTGGTAACAATCTCTACCTTCACATTCCAGATCCATTTTACAGAACTCAACTCCAGTATAGCACGTCTGTTTACACCCTTTCCCCTTGCATTTCATGTAACAATTATAATTACCACTGCTGTAATTCCCGAGCGGATTACAATGATCGCCTCCATTTTCACTTTCCGAGTAACATTTATTGGAATCGAAATCTTTACTACCCAGGGCAAAACCTGAAACAATAAAAACAAGAACAGAACCAAAAATTTATGAATTCTAAATATGAAAATAATGATGACGATAATTATGAAGAATACAAAGGTATCGCGAGACCTTCTTGGGCAAATAAACAACTTTAAACCACTGTTGCATAAAACTGCTGAATATGATTTTCATGGAAACTGCCATTATAGCAGAGTAATTGCAAGCACCATTTCGTTTAAACCGAATCTTCAGCCACCGCGAAGCTGACAGAGGTTTCGAATATACAAGTTGATACAAAGCGGTTTCTTTAAAAACTAACTTTCTAGATAGGTGAAATGTATCTCAGTATTTTATGCTATTTTGTATCACTCATTTCTTTATATTTATTTATCCATGTTTTTGTCTATTTACTTCAATTTTTTATATCTTATTACTTTTTGCTAAGATAGGCGGCCCTTGTAAGATTAAAGAGTGAGCCTTCTTTCCATAACTACGTTTTGCAACTTAGGAATTGATAAATACATAAGGGCATCCCTGGGTGTAAAGAACATTTCCGCATGGCGTCGTTGGCTTCTCAGATATTGTCTACAGATTCACGAAAAACTACACACCTACGAAAATCTGACTCATATAAAAACTTTTAAGGAGAAAACAAGACTTCAAAGACTTGAAATGATATTGTTAAGCTTCCAGGCTCGGTAGTTTTTGATAGGTGAGAGACGACCTAGATTTCGACTATCTTTCTAGCCATTACAGAATTTGCATATCTTCAAATTGGAAAAAAACCCGGGCTTAAAATATCCCATCGCAAATTGCATGTTTGCGCTGAAGCTTCACTTTTTCAAGATAAACACACGAGTTAGAACAGGCTTTAAGCCTGTATCTCAATAATACATAGGTAAAATGGCTCCATGAAATACGTCCCCTATAATATTCCGTCTTGGCTTCCTAAAAAAAAGCCTATGTGGCCATCTGCCACACAGGCTAATCATTTTTTTTTTTAAGTTTTAGCGGTCTTTGTTTGCGCTCAATTTTATTTCAAAGACTTTTCCAAGGGCATCCATGAGATGGACTCCTCGGAGTGCGCTTAGGCTGCATTCTAAATGAAATCAATCCTTTAAATGGAGCTCTGGTACTCACTCAACAAAGCTATTGATAACAGGAGTGTTCCCCACAACTGGCAGCTTCTCATCAACATCATTTGTTTGCGTTGGGTGGGTTTAGTTCCTGTAAGCTGAACCAAATGCAACCCTTCTAGATAATTGCCAGTGGCTGAAGATCGGTCCGAAATATCCTTTGCCAATATAAACCCAAGGCTTGATAATTCTCCTTTTAGAAAGAACCAGCCGTTTACTCAGTGCTTACAAGCACTGCGGGAAATGATTGTCATGCAAATTATTTTCGTCGGGTATTTCCGCCGAAATTTAGTCGCAGTAAGCCTTTTTACACAAGTAAAAAATATGACAGGTACGAAACTAGCTTTTCAAGCAAATGCTTCATTCGAAAGTTAAAGGTTTTTTGTTGCTTCGAAACAATTACGCCTCCACTTGTAATATTTTTTGTTCGCTTTTTCTGACGATCCTCGCTAAGTAGTGCAAAGCGGAAAATCTTACCTGCACGTGCCACGCACTAGAAGGTATTATTGACAAAATATGTGACGTTTTCCGTTTCTTGGAACACTAAATGGAGATAATTGCTCACCAAAGCTAAATTAGTTATTCAAGTTCAAAAACTCTCAGAGTTAAAACTTGATTCGCTAGATATGAGTGTTCCCTGTTTTCGTCGCAATATATCTAAATAATTATTTCAGTAACAATGAAGAATCTGTAATGTTAGACCTTAGGGATTGTAGTCACGCGGAATATGGCAAAAGACCAGTCGTTATTTTTCACCCGCGAGGGAAAAGGAGGATTTTTTAGGGAAGGCCGACTTTATGCGTTCGAAGACCTAAAAACACAACTGGTATTGTCATACCCAGTCGACCTTATCGCTTAAGTAATGCTCGCAATAAGCCTATTTGACTTGAAAATAACTACATCCTGAAAAATAATAAATAAATAACAAAGAATTTTCTTCATATACAACTGTGTTCATTGCGATCTTTAATTGCAAACCACTTTGTTATAATAACAATAATAATAATAATAATTTACTGTTTTTGAACACGGGCATAATAGTTCTAAACAGAATTCCGTTAACCGTTTCCTAAATATTGACGGGTTAATAGCTAAAAGCTAATAATAAATGTTTTTCTCATCGAACAGCTGTTTCAGACTTCCCTTAGGGCTTTTCGAAATGTGTTAAAAATGATCTAGAATAAAGGAAAACACATACACTGAAACAATATCAATGCAAAACATTTTTTTTGCGGAATGATAATCTTAAACAGCTCCGTCGAAGTTGTCTGTCGTGTTGATATGTTTGATTTAATATTGATTTCTTTATGAATTTGGTATATTTTATGCAAGCATTCGAAAGACGAAAAATTTTCTACCTTTTTCCCTTATTCACTACGTGATCGTACTTAAGTACAGTTTATTATTATTATTATCATTATTATTATTATTATGTTATTAACATGTATGGTAGGAATACACGGCTACATGCAGCAGGCTTACTGATTTCAAATAGCTCGTTTTCCTTTTTGTTTTTCTTAGGCATGGGAATTCAAATAGATCCGAAAAATTCGTGGCGAAATTAAAATCGGAATTGCTGCTTAAGTTTGCTTACCCTGCATTTTCATCGTATAATTAAATGCCGTTTTAACCAGTCAGAGCCCTTGTTATTTCGAAAGGTTCCTATCTTTGTGCAATACACGTATTTGTTTTTTTTGGTCCATAATTCCAAAGCCTTCTCAAAATGCGAAGACAGCTGAAAAACCCATCATGCGATTTGCATAAATTTAAAGAATTCCTTCATTCCCACCCCTCCCCTCCGACTAAATCCTATACCTTAGATATACGCGCGAATCTAAAATGTTACTACCGCGTTTCTATATAGCTAAAAACACCTGTCGACCGTTGGCAAAAAAAATCAAATCCCTTAAAGTCATGCTGGCGAGAGCAAAAATTTAATTTGAAGGCGATAATGCGACGCGACCACAAAAGCCACATGGGGAGTCCGTGTCTGTCTTTATCTTTATTCTCATGTTGATATTTTCCAGACCACTCCCATCCTTTATGCGCAACCACTCTAGCGTGGAAGGTTCATGTTATCATTTTCTCTTTTCATGCTACTTATTTTCACACATTGCTCACTTGACTTCCGGTATGTTAATGCACCGTTCGACTTCCAGTGTGTCGATTCGTCAGCGACCGTAGGCGAATATATGTATATATATACTCTTCTGCAATGATCACTCTCATCTTTATATGAAATTTTCTGTTTGGATCCATTTAGAATAGACAGAAAGATGTTTCAAGCTTTCAAAGAGAGATATGAAACATTCCTGCTCACAGATTCAGGAGCAAACCCATTCTTGTAAATATTTGAATTAATAAGTTTATGCGATGAGTGATAAAGAATTTATTCGGGGAAGTCTTGAGTGAGCAGCTCTGAAAATTTTCTTTTTCAAAGATCTTTTCGATCAGCAAGATATAATGATTTGACTTGACAGAGTTGGGCAACATCCGGTGATTAAAGGAACTTAAATAAAAGAGTGCCAATGGGAAGCGGGGGAAATATTTCGTCACGCAGATGAAATGTATCACTGTTATAACTATTATCTGGTTTGTATTACTAAAAAATGTGGCAGGCTACAAAACCGTTCTGAGATCTTTCACTTACATGTAAATGAGACGCGAGAAAAAAGCAAGTAGAGTTTTGACATTCGCAATTCTGTTTGAGTTCTGTGAACTCTGAAGAAATCATGAATATCGAGTAGACCTCAAGAATTTGAAAAGAATACTAAGTGTGCAAAATATCCGATGAATGATGACTACTTCAAGTTTAGTTGGACAGCTCCTACATCCGAAACTAAAAGTCCCTTTCGTGTGGGGAAACGGCCTGAATCGATGACTAATTTAGCGAGTGACGTGTGACTCATAACATGAGCGAATTCTGTTTGACAGCACCAACGCAAGCTTAGCATTTTAAAACCTGTGAAAGGAGAAGTCGTTTACCAAATTGAAAGGGATTAAGTTACAGATTAGCATGAAGTCCATTTGCCTTGAAAAAATTAGAATAGGTCTGATTGTGAACCTATCCCTTTTGTAAATAATACAAGCTTCTGAGAGTGTGAAACTTTGTAGAAAAAACAGATAAATATTAGTTATAAGTTTACGCGCTTGAAGGGAATGGAATTTACACTGATCTCGCTAGAAGTCTGTTGCACGTAGATAAACTTTCTGTGAAAGTGGTTGCGATTAGAAAAAAAAGATGAAATGCAAAAAAATTTAACATACAAAACTAAAACAAAGAAAGGAAGGTTACGAAGTTACTGAGAGAAATTTTTCGGGGACTCAATTAGAATTATCTGGGATATGAATATTGAGCTCTGGAATGGACACTCTGAAAAAGATGTTATTTATTTTACCAATTAACAGCAGTATTTGATCCTATCTTATTCATGTATGTGTGTGTGGTTTCTTTTTTAATTAGCAGATTTGGGAATTTTCCTGCGCTTGTTGATACGTCAATGGCAGGTGAAATTTAGTTGTTATGAATTCAATAACTTCAGCAATATCCCGCAGGCATGTTTAAGGCAAACAAAGTGAAAGAAAGGGGTGGAATTTGTTAATTATTTCATGATAATTGGGACGCTATTACCACTACACTACAGCAGCAGAGAAGGAAGGAAGCATTTTATTTTCCATGGATCGGGAATTCGAGAAGTCTCTTTGTCTTGGGACTGGAATTTCTTTCATTTTGCTTTCGGTTTTGATATCACTTCCAAACATCTTCGTTCTCATTGCGTTGTACAAGAACCCTTTTCGCTGTTTCAAAAAATCCTTTGCTGTATTTCTCGTTTTTATTTCTTCAGCTGATTTATTTGCTGGAAGTGTGGTTTGCACTGGAGAAGCCGTAATGCGATTTTCCTGCGCCTTTGGAGACAAAACGCTACCAAAGGATGGAGACGTTGTTAAATTGTTGGGATACACAGGAGTCAACAGCTCTATCTTATTGGTAACAGCAATGTCTGTGGATCGCTTTATATCAGTAACTTTTCCCCTCTTCTATCGCAACAAGGTCAAGCGAAATCACCTTATTCTGTGCAATGCGAGTATTATTGCTTTCTCGACAATGTTTGCCTTGCTACAAATTACCGGAATCTCAATTGATACCTATGTGTCAATAGATATACATCTGCATACGACATTTCCTCTTGCAACGACTTCTGTGTGTTATGCCGGAATATTCGTGATAGTACGAAAACGTACCCGGGTTGATATTCCAAGAGAACACAGAATGCGTGGTGAACCAGCACTCCACGTCATGCGTAGGGTCGACAACGCCAAAAATGAACGGAAAATTGCTATAACATCGTTGTTAATTTTGCTGTTTCTAATATCATCACTTGTACCTTATTTCATAACAGTTATTCTGGAGGCAAACTGTCTCGCTTGTCGTGAACAAAAGTGGCTATTTGTACTCAAAGAATCATCAGTCGTGTTCTTGTTTTTCAACTCTTTTGTCAATCCTTGTTTAACAACCTTTCGTGTTAACCAACTGAAAGAGTCTGTCAAAGTAGTGTGTTTCCACCGACGCTAAAACTATAGGGTTTGCCAGCTATTAAGTTTGTGTTGTGGATGTTTCAAAGCCAATGTTCATTTATAGCGTCCTTCAGATGTTAAAAAAAAACGAAAACGGAAAAACAAAGAAATTCATTACACATTCGTGAAAGCACAGACGAAAGCGAGGGTCTGATGGGGTCAACCCCTTACCGTAGAACGGCATGGTAATTTAGCCGTTAGGCATAAAAACCGACAAATTTTAACCGTGAGTCATAACAAACCTAACCGTCATTTTTTTTCCTTAAATCGCAACAAAAAATAATTTCAGCTGTAGAATTGCTAAAAATTAAATCGTTAACCGTCAACCCATTGAAACTCCTCAACTAGAGTGAGTCCAGCAAATTTAAGATTGCTACTAATTGATAATTTAGATTAAGTGGTGAGATTTTGGATCCATAATGATATTTATCTAATAACCTGTTAGATGATAGTGTTGTAATCATTTGTAGCCTATTCATTTCCAAGGACAAATACACAGTAATGGAGAAGGGTAGCTGCGTAATTGCATTTCTTGAGTCGCAATAAGACAGTTTCTCTCCCTTGACTCAAAATGCCACTCGCCGTAGAGAATTGCGAAGCTGTGTGGTTACTAACCGGCATTTGTGATATTAGACTCGCTTTTAATTTTCTTCCTTTAGGTTCAGAAAAGACGCTGAATCTATGTCATGATTTTTAAGTCCACGAATTTGAGGCCTTTTGGTTTATTCATTTGGTAAACAATTCACTAATCCGCAAGCAGGTTTTACAAAAAATTTAATGAACGCTTTAAATCTTGCGATGTTGAGCTCTTGGTAGTATACTCCTTATATTTTTATTAAAACTCTGCGCAAAATATTGCATCGACCAACGTTTTTATTAGACAGGCTGAATATAGTAATCATTCCAGCTTTTATTATATTTGACTGCTCACCACAAATGATAAGGTTAAAGTGTGTTGAGCTGATAATTAAGTCTCCAAAACAGGCGCTAAGAAAGAAATTGGACGTATTTTGAACCACACATAGACGAATGGCAAGGATTGAAATATTTCCCATCAACACCATGCTCTCATCTTCAAGTACACAAGATGCCTTCAAAGACACTGCCTTTTCAATAAACAGGACCAATGTCACATTATTATAATAATGCCAACTAGATCCCTTTACCTTAAATGGTGGAACATTTGAAAGCATTATTATAATAATGCCAACTAGATCCCTTTACCTTAAATGGTGGAACATTTGAAAGCGAGGTCAGGCGTCGGAGGGTGAATCAGTCGTCTCCAACAGATGGTGACCACTTGAATACCACAGAGTCTTATAAGGGATCGGGAAAATGTTATTTTGATAAATAGTGCGGGTCTCAAGGTGATAGACTGACAGAAAGAAATTATATTCGACAATTTTTTCCCTCGACTTCGTCTGGGGAATTATTCGTTAAAAATAAATAATTCTCAAATAGTTTGTAATTGGATTGTCAGAGAAGTATCGCTTTCTTTCGTTACGTTTGATTTTCCCTGAATGATTATAGTAATATATAACGTCATCCATAAGCACCTACGTAAGTAAAAGCATATTGAGGATATTCTCAGGTGATATAGGTCTCCCGGGACACGGATAACGAAAATTTCCATCAGTCTATCTAACTTCTCGCTGGGTACTTTTCCAGTGTTTCATTCCATGCAGAATTTCAGGTTTATACTCCTTAGTTAATTTCAGCAAAACCTCAGCCTGAATTCCATTCAAACGTAGCATGTGGCCTTATTTACAAACAAGTTGTGCATGAGCGAGCTAATAGGGTAATGATATCAAAGCAAAAAATCGGAACTACGAACAGGTGACATGCTCCTGTCATATACCATATAAAGTTGTGCATAGAACAGTCGGGGTGGAGGATTGGCGTAAAGGACCTTAAACAGACAGGACGACAACGCAGAAGAGTTAACTTAATTCTCTAAAGACGAAATAAATTCATAACTTTCTAATGAATTTCTCAAATGGAATAATGGGTTTGGCGTCCCTACAATGGTGCCATTTGTCGACAACCCTAATGTAGCCTCAACAAAGCATTTGTAAGCAGCGATGAATTAAAAAAAAAAAAAAAAAAAAAGAGTATTTCGTCCTCGGGTTCCGTTCTCAGACCACGAAAAATTTGGTGATTCCACCTTGCTGGTTTGCAAAGGACGGTAAAGGAATGTAAACGACCATAAAACGCACGCGCACAGCTATTGTTTTGCCCATTAAAAGCTTTTGGTTTCCCTCGTTTTCACTGCCGTCGCCGTCGTGGCTTGCTTAAGGTCACTGCTGGCGAATAAAGGACTCTATTTGCTTTGAGCCTGGTGTGTGGTATAGCTTGCTTAGGAACTTCTGTTAATAGCACTGATGGTGGGTTATTCGACCATAGAAACGGAACTTGCTGTGGTTGTTATCCACAAGGTTGACTAAGGTTCCATTTCTGCAACTTGAGAGGAATCCTTTGTTTGGCTTGTTCATAGGCTCTTTAGAGCAGAGTAGAGTTAAGCCAGTTAAACGGAGGCTGTATTCCTCTTTGTTTTCTGTTGGACAGAACTTCCAAAACTGCTTACATCTTCTTGTCTTTGCACGCGGATGACAATTCTTAAGGAATGTTTCAACTCGTTGATTCGAAATGTTGTCAATAACGGGTTCACAGTTGAATTTAGAAATAAGAATACCACTGAAGATTCTCTCAGCACAATAAGCCATTTCTTACCGCGACAACCAGAACAGTTCGCCTCAACAAGAATTGATGCAAAGTATGGAATTAGGGAGATGATTAGGAAAAGCAAAATTAAGAAGGAAGTCATGACAAATTTCCTTTCTTTTTTAACACGCGTTATCGTTTGCATGTCACTAAGATAAGCATTTGTCGAATTGGCCTCCCGTCTTTGAAAATCGACTCGAGCGCGTTTCCGCAAGACAAAGAATATTCCTAAATAAGACAAACTTGTCGTGATAAGAGGAAATGTCGTGTGCAGATGTATATCTATGGAAATATACACATCAATCGGAATCCCAGCAAGTTGGAGGCAGGCAAATATCGCAGAAAAAATAACGATGATTGAGTTGCATAAGACAAGTGTCTTTGGTTTAACCGTGTTTAGATAAAAGTGTGGGCAAACGACCGACACAAGTCGATCCACGGACATAGCCGTGATCATAAGGATTGAACTGTTGATTCCAATGTATCCTAAAATTGTGGGAATGTCACCTTCGCCAGGAAACTGTTTTCCACGGAAAGAACACAAAAATCGCGTTATGGCTAGTCCAGTGCAAACTACACTCCCCACAAAGAGATCTGTCGCGGTTATGAACGCTAGAAACACCGTGAAGGTTTTTCTGAAGCAACGAAGAGGATTTCTGTATAGAGTTACTAGGATTATCGCATTGGGAATTGAAATTATAAATATCAGCGCCGCAAATGGAATTCCTGTTCCAAGGCAGAGAGATTTCTCAAACGTGCGCTCCATCGTCAGTGAAAACTCGTGCTGAATGAACGACTCGTTCCAGAAACGATACAAAAAAATATCGCAGAGTTTGTTTGTTTCTCCGTCAAACGACTTCCTTCAGCAAACTGTACGTTTGAAATTAACGACAATAAATCGCATTTGTATTGTCAATCGCAGAATATTTGCTTTCCTGACGTAAAGAAAAAGCGGAGAGCATCCTCTCACCTGTCATTGTGTTTATTGTGTAGGAAAACAATAGCCAGCGATTTCAGCGACGTAGCTTTTGCCAAAAGCAAATAATATAAATAATCATAGCAATAATTCGAGTCTTCAATTTTGCTTTTAGTTATGATATGATCATGTACGCTTCCGTGGACTTTCTAAGTTTTAATTGGCAAAATAATCGTTATCAGGAACACCGAGTGCTTAAAAACACACAAAAACTGAAATAATTAGAAAATGATTAAATGCAGCATTATCTTGTTTTCATTTTCCATGCTCCACTAGTGCCAGGTGACGAGAGCTAACGACGGACACGAAAACGACGTGCGTAAGGTAATATATATATATATTGCGAAATAAGCTTGTAGGGATGAAAGTATAGTCTCTTTTTTTTTCCCTATCTTAATATATATCGCACTCTACCTCTACGTATCGAGGGCTGTACTACGGAAAAATAGAAACTCAGACTTCTTCTCTCTCTCTCTCTCTCTCTCTCTCTCTCTCTCTCTCTCTCTCTCTATATATATATATATATATATATATATATATATATATATATATATATATATATATATATATATATATATATATATATATATATATATATATTCACCTTTTGTCAATGAAAATTGAGGATATCTCCTTCAATTCAGTAAAAAATTTTTCATTATCATTATAATTTTTTCATTTCTTTTTCTTTTTTCGTTTCGGTGGATAACAATAGAGATAACCTAGATATAAAACACAGCAGAAAACGCCGTACCTTGTAAGAAACTTCATTGGTTCAAATAAAACCTCGCCTAGTGCTCCGTTAATAAGTGTTTGCAATAGCCTAGAGCAATACATAGATATTTTTTATTGAGTTATTTCTATTGCAACCACTTGGAGGTGCGAGTTTTCTACCATTGCACCTATTTCCAAGAGATTTCCATCATTTTATCATATATTCTTAGATATGAAAAAAAGCTATCGCACGAAGGTGTCTCATTTTTGCAAGGAACCAAAGACCCGAAGCAAAAGGTCTGCAGTTCAATTTTCCTAAGATCAATCCAAAGTAAAAATTCTACTTTTCAGGTTTCACTATACTTGCTATATGGCTGAATTTTCTCTAAATATTAAGACAAATATTAACATTGCTACGAATTCTTTTTGCCTGCTGCTCATCTACATTGTTTTTTTGTTTTATTTTTTTTTTTGTTTTTTGCAAATGCATCCGCACTGGCGAGATAAAAATTAAGACGCTAAGAAACTAAACAAACAAAAAACCCCCTACTTTTCAGGTTTCATTATACTTGCTATGTGGCTGGATTTTCCCTGAATAATTAGACAAATATTATTATTGCAATGAACTTTTTCTTCTTTGCTCCTCATCTACTATTTTTATTTGCAAATGCATTCTTACAGGCGAGTTAAAAATAAAGACGTAATGGAACTTAACAGAAAATGGTGCTATATCTATAAGAAAAAATTCAAATATCGCCATATTCCAAACGAATGAAAATGGAGACGAATTATTAAGCTTTCCTTTCTAGCCTCTAGTCTGGTAATAAATTAAGAAAAAAAAAATTGCTGAAAATTTCCTGATACTTTGCCTCACAAAGGCGTTACCAACGTTAAGTCTGTTGTATTTTCCTTGACCATTAATCTTAAATTTACAAATATGATTTGCAATCCGTGCATCTAACTACCATCCATTTTCTTGTTACTTGAACAGATTTGTCTATTCAATAACGCGTCTACAGGATAACGTATTAAGATTTTGAGACGTTTATGAATTCTGAGAAGCACACAACAAAAACTCGTCTGCAACAGCCAAATCACGCTCTTCAAAGAGACTTACAGGCCAATGATTTCCGAGTAAAACCATACGCAATCAATTCTTTATTTACATTTTACGTAAATTACGAGTTTTTCCCTATAGTATAAAATACCTCTCCGACACTCTACTTAACTTTATGGTCCGAAGAAGCCGCGTTGTTATCATTTTAAAGAATTTTTGCTTCTTTAGTATTGAAATTACCTTGGTCAGAATAAGTATGGCAGTGTATAACTTCATCCATAAGCACCTATGCCATGAGTGAAAGCATATTGAGGATATTCTCCGATGATATAGATCTCCCGGGACACAAATAACAAAAATTTCCGTCAGTCTTTCTAACTGCTCGCTGCGTAGTTTTCCAGTGTTTCATTTCAAGCAGAATTTCAGGTTTGTACTCCTTAGTTAATTCAGGAAAACCTTAACTTTACTGAATTCCATACAAACGTAGCATGTGACCTTGTTTCCAAATTAGTTCTGCACGATCGAGCTAACAGGGTAATGATATCCAGTCGAAAAATCGGACCTGCGAACAGGTCACATGCTCCTGTCATAGACGTTAAAAGCCTAATAACGCCTCGCCTAGCACGCCGAATAGAATTGTGCATAGAACAGTCGGTGGAGAATTGGCGTAAAGGGCCTTAAACAGACAGGACGACAACGCAGAAAAGTTAACTTGATTTTCTAAAGGAAAAAATGAATTCATAATTTTATTATGAATTTCTCAAATGGATCGATTGGTTTACCGTCTCTACAATAGTGCCAGTTTTCGACGATCCTGATGCAGGCTAAACAAAGCATTTCTAAGCAGCGTTGAATTCCGAAAAAGATACGTGAATATTTAGCCTTCGGGGTTTCCACGAAAACGTTGGTGACTTCACCTTGCTGTTTTGCAAAGGACGGTCAGAGAATGTAAAAAATGCACGCGCATAGCTATTGTTTTTGCCCCTTGAAAGCTTTTGTTTTGCCATGTTTCACTGCCGTCGCCGTCATGGTTTGTTTAAGGTCGCTGCAAGCGAACAAAGGACTCTATTAGCTTTGGTGTGTGGTATAGCGCGCTTAGGAGTTCCCTGTTCATAGCACTGTTGGTGGTTTATTCGACCATAGAAACGAAACTTGCTGTAGTTGGAATCCACAAGGTTGACTAAGGTTCTATTTCTGCAACTTGAGAGGAATCTTTTGTTTGGCTTGTTCATAGGCTCTTTAGAGCAGTGTAGAGTTAAGCCAGTTAAACGGAGGCTGTATTCCTCATTGTTTTCTGTTGGACAGAACTTCCAAAACTGCTTACATCTTCTTTTCTTTGCACGCGGATGACGATTCTTAAGGAATGTTTCAACTCGTTGATTCGAAATGTTGTCAATAACGGGTTCACAGTTGAATTTAGAAATAAGAATACCACTGAAGATTCTCTCAGCACAATAAGCCATTTCTTACCGCGACAACCAGAACAGTTCGCCTCAACAAGAATTGATGCAAAGTATGGAATTATGGAGATAATTAGGAAAAGCAGAATTAAGAAGGAAGTCGTGACAAATTTCCGTTCTCTTTTAACGCGCGTTATCGCTCGCATGTCACCAAGATGAGCATTTGTCGAATTGGCCTCCCGTCTTTGAAAATCGACTCGAGCGCGTTTCCGCAAGACAAAGAATATTCCTAAATAAGACAAACTTGTCGTGATAAGAGGAAATGTCGTGTGCAGATGTATATCTATGGAAATATACACATCAATTGGAATCCCAGCAAGTTGGAGGCAGGCAAATATCGCAGAAAAAATAACGATGATTGAGTTGCATAAGACAAGTGTCTTTGGTTTAACCGTGTTTAGATAAAAGTGTGGGCAAACGACCGACACAAGTCGATCCACGGACATAGCAGTGACCATAAGGATTGAACTGTTGATTCCAATGTATCCTAAAATTGTGGGAATGTCACCTTCGCCAGAAAACTGTTTTCCACGGAAAGAACACAAAAATCGCGTTATGGCTTCTCCAGTGCAAACTACACTCCCCACAAAGAGATCTGTCGCGGTTATGAACGCTAGAAACACCGTGAAAGTTTTTCTGAAGCAGCGAAGAGGATTTCTGTATAGAGTTACTAAGATCATTGCATTGGGAATTGAAATCATAAATATCAGCGCCGCAAATGGAATTCCTGTTCCAAGGCAGAGAGATTTCTCAAACGTGCGCTCCATCGTAAGTGAAAATGTGTTCAGAATTTAAGACTGGATCCCGAAACGATCCGAAAAATTGTATCGACAGAGTTTGTTTCTCCATCAACCAATTTCCTCAAGTAAACACTACGTTTGAAATTAAAGACAAGAAATTGTGTTTGTTTTGTTAATTGCAGACTATTTGCTTTCCTGACGTAAAGAAAAAGCCAAGAGCATCATCTCACCTGTCAATGCGTTTACTAATTAGGAAACAAAAGGCAGCGCTTTCAGAGACGTAGCTTTCGCCAAAAGCAAACAATACAAATAATTGCGGGAATAATTATAAAAATATTGCAAGTCTCTAATTTTGCTTTTAGTTTTCTCAATTATCATGAAGGCTTTTGATGACTTTCCAAGTCCTAATTTGCAAAATAATCATCACGCACACCAAGTGCTTAAAAGCACACAAAAACTGAAATATTGAGAGGATGAGTCAATGCAACATTTCCTTGTTTTCGTTCTCTCTGTTCCCTTAATGCTAGGTGACGCGAACTAACGACGGACGCAAACACAACTTGTTTACTCTTGATATACAACACAAAGGTTCCTACGTAGTATAAAACAAATATATATTTAATATATATTCATCTTTTGTCGATGTAAATTGAGGTATTTCCTTCCATTTTGGTGAAAAAATGTTCATTACCATCGTTATTTTTTTATAATTCCTTTCTTTTTTCGTTTCGGTGAGTGACAAATGATATAACTTAGGGATAAAACACAACAAAAAACAGAAAATGCTGTACCTTGTAAGAAACTTTATTGATTCAAATAAAACCTCGCCGTGTGCCTCCGTTAATAAATGTTTGCAATAGCCTTGAGCGATTTATAAATATTTTATTTAATTATTTAAACTGCAACCACTTGGAGGCGCGAGTTTTCTACCACTGCATCTATTTCCAAGAGATCTCCATCGTTTCATCAGATTAAAAAAAAAAAAGTTATCGTACGAAAGCGTCTCGTTTATGCAAAGACCCGCAGCAAAAGGTCTGTGGTTCAATATTCCTAAGATCAATCTAAAATAAAAATTCCACTTTTCAGCTGTCATTATACTTGCTATAAGTTGGCTGAATTTTCTCTAAATATCAAGGCAGATAGTATCATTGTTACGAATTCTTTTTGGTCTGCTGCTCATCTACAATTTTCTTTCTTTTTTCTTTTTTTTGGCAAATGTATCCTAACTGGCGAGATAAAAATTGAGACGTTAAGAAACTAAACAAAAAACCCCAAAAAAAAACCATACTATATCTATAAGAAAATCAAACATCACCTTATTCCAAACGAATGAAAATGGAGACGAACTGTTGAGTGTTCCTATTTACTCTCTAGTCGGGCATTTTGATTGTGCACTCGTGGAAAACTGAAATGGTAACAAATAAGTGAAAAAATCTTCTTGCGGAAAACTCCTTGATATGTTGCTTCGCAGAGGCTATTTCAACGTCAACTCCGTTGTATTCTCTTGACTATTGACCTTTACAAATATGATTTGCCATCCGCGTATTTAATTGCTATCCATTTTCTTGTAACTTGAACAGATCTGTCTATCCCAAATCATGTCTACAAGGTAACGAATTGAGATCTTGACACATATATCAATTCTGAGAAGTACACTGCAAAAACCCGTCTGCAACATCAAAATCACGATCTTCAAAGAGAAGTTACAGATCAGTGATTAACAAGAAAAACCATATGCAATCAATTCTTTACTTAGATTTTACGCAAATTACGAGCTTTGCCCTACAATATAAATTACTTCTAGGACACTCTACCTAATTCTATGCTCCGTTGCGCAGTGCTAAAACTGTGTTAGCGACATGGTTTTTCCAGCTATATAGCGCTAAATAACACAGCGCAAAAGTGTTCTACCAAAGCCTCTTAACTTTGCTAATGAAGTGCACATCGATAACGTTTTTTGACATGCGGAATCTTTCACTTTGAAATATGTGAACTTTCACTTAAGCATGGAGCACAAGTAATCGCTAATAATTTATGACTGTATTTGGTTTTAGATTCAGCGAAATAGCTCGCTATTAATTTTCATATGTAAACTGTGTATTTATATTAGTTGTATCCTATTCACTTCTTGAATTTATAAAAGTAATATTTAACTATAGATAATTTTTCATAACTTTCAATTATCTCATTCAAATTCTCACCCGGGGGAGCCATCATTCTTCGACAGTTAAATTTTCATTGCCATCTCAACCAAGTTGCAGTGTTAACGATTTAAAACACGTAAACCATCCAAAATCTCCAATTTATATGCTTTGCATTCTTTTAAGAATGGAGCCGTATATCTCTATCTTGTTATCATATCGCATCGACCAAATCTGAAACACTGCAACAAGTTTTTTTTCACGACTCGACAAAAATTTGTGCAGAAAAATGCTATTGCCTCCACGAGCGAGCAAACCAGAACTCGGTGCGTAATCGTCACTCAAGATTGGGGCATTAAATAGAAGCCACGTTTTCGTTCTGAGTCACTTTCCTTCGGCTAACCTCCTCGTGAGTCCCTGGACACTAGGCTACATTGACCTATAAGTTCCTTAAGCTCCTTCTTACACGAGGTACTGGGATGAACCAGTAGCCAAAAGAGCTATCGATGGTTTGCATGTTACTTGTAAGTGCTTTGCATCACGTGTCTTTCCTTATATAGCCATTCATCGAGCCGTTCATGTGTCGTTTCTTAGCTTCGAAAACAGTTGATTCTGCGTCGCTATCATCCCCGGTGTCACTCAGCATCAGACTGGTACTTAAATATTTACCTGAAATAAGAACATCGAATCGAACAAAAATTTCGTTAAAAAAGAAAACAATTAAATAAAATAAAGGGAAAAGTGAATAAATAAACCGAAAGGAAATTAAGTCTTAATTTTATCTTCGCGATCGCAAATATTCCGCAGACCAATCATTTGTATGGGCGGGAAAGAAGGCGGCCGAATGTGTACAACCAGGGTCAAAATTGGGAAAACTTTAGGCGTGAAAACTTTAGGCGTGAAAACTTTAGGCGTGAAAACTTTAGGCGTGAAAACTTTAGGCGTGAAAACTTTAGGCGTGAAAACTTTAGGCGGGAAAACCTTTGGGCGGGAAAACTTTGAGCGGGAAACTTTGAGCGGGAAAACTTTGGGCGGGAAAACTTTTGGCGGGAAGACTTTGAGTGGGAAGACTTTGGGCGGGAGAAAGGGCAGGAACGCTTTGGTAAATACGTCGTATTTCGCAGGATTTGTGCTTAAATGGTAACCAGGCTAGAATGCCTTACTAAATGAGGAGCGTTCCTACACAATTTATCTATCTAGCCAACGCCACAAGACCGGCATTATTTACACGAATACTTGTATTGAATCCGGCACTATTCTATTGTTTTTTGGGTTTTTGTTTTCTTTTATCGCTTCTTTTTTGTCATGTACGATGTTCCTTTTTATCAATCCCCAGTTGTTCGAAGGTCGCATAACGTTATCCACAGGATAAACCTCTATCTGGCGGATAACGCTCTAAGTTTTGCCATCACTTATCCGCTGGATAACGATTTATCCGCCCGTTATAAAACTGAGCCCAGATCTTTAACCATCCCGAATAAACAAGGACATATCTTATATCCCTCCCTTCGAGAAATCTCCGACACAACTTATAAATTCCGAGGTGCAACCTCTATTAAAATTTAAGCAGCAAGAAAACGAATCTCCAACGTCTCTCACCTCCTTTGGGAAGCATCTCCATGCTCTCGAGTTTATCCTCCTCGTCCTCATCAAGAACGGCGTAACGATGGCGCCTCTTGCCACGGACTCGTCTCCTGTAAAGAATGACGGCGTATCAAAACAGTTTTAACAACCAAGTACCAAAAAACAAAACCAGAATAATCAAAGCTACGAATCAGAACAAAGCTTAACATCATCATCAACCAATCAGAACTCAAAGTAAAAACATGCACCTTCCTTGAAGCGCAAGAAAACGCGCGTGACCAAGTTGGGATTGAATTTAGTTTTGCATTTGATTGGTTGAGACGATGGCGCTAGTTTTCGAGACCGCTGACAGAGCGAAGTGAAGGGTCACTTTCGATACTCCATTGAAAACTGCTCTGATAATAAGGAAAAGTACGTGACAATCACAACAGCCAATCAGAGGAGAGCCAAAATTCATCAGGAGCTGATGTGAATTAAAATTTAAAACTAGTAAACTGCCTGAAGCGGGGGAAAACGAGAATAACCAAGACCCGTCGACGCCAACTTTCTTAACCAATCACTGAGCGAATATCAAAACTGAAACAATTTTAACGAAGTTAAGCGTTTGACACTCAATTGTAAAGTGGTCTCTAAAATACAAAAGAACAAATGATCGAGCAGGATTGTTACATGTAACAAAGAATATCCATCTTATTTGCACAAATAGCACAATTTCACAACCCGACAAAAAAACACGTAAAACTAGCAGGAAATGGTAAAAAAAAAAATGTTAAAACGTAGAGCCTAACAAAGAGTGAAAAACGAAATCGAATGTTGAGTAGTTAGGACAATGAATGAACAAAGAAATAAATACATAATAGTGTTAATCTTTCATGGTGTAATAGAATGATTCAGTGAGGAAGTGAGATTCCAAAAAGGAGATGACATGGAAAAAAGCTCGGGAAAAGTGACGAGCGAAGCGATTCAAATCAAACTATGAATTTCTACTGTGTGGTCAAAGAAAAAAAAAGAAAAAAGAAAAAAAAGAGAAAGAAAGAATTCAGCTGAGAAGGATGAATTGTACGTGGAATTAACGTTGAAGAATAACACGACAAAAAGAACAACATTTGACAAAAGGATGAACAAGATGCACAGTCATCCCATAATTATTCAACGACATTGAGGCTTTACTGAGAAAGTCGGGAAAACAGGGGTTAGGCGTGTCGCTTAGTTAACCCTGTACCCGTGAGAATATTTGAAGCATACCTACGATCTGTTGAAGAAGCATCTTCTGTACTCGGAGGATTAACAGAAACTACAACCTTCTTACGACGGATTCTAAATAGAAGAAGAATGGAGAGATAGAGAGGAGAGGAAACCTGTGCAAAGGTGGGAGAAAGTTTCGGACAAAGATTGAAAAAAATTGAATGAGTGGTTCAGGCGATATTCCATTGTAAGTTAACATGACGGGGTAAAAAGCTGGACGAGAGTCCGGACCCCTAAACTAAAGGAGTCCTTGACCAATACTGTCTTTCAGACGGGAGGTTCATCGACCTTTGGGGGTGATTGAGAACCGTGTAGAAGCGAAGTAAATTCAGCAATCTGATAGGTAAGAAAGATAAGTGAAAGAACGGTGGGAAAGAATTTGCACACAAAGCAAAGAGGAGGGGAGAATATGACTTATTTCATTATTCATTTACAGTGGACAAAGGGAGGACTCTTACTTCTGTTAACTTACTGTGCAGTGCAAACATTATGTGAGTAATGTGCTTGTTGCTGAAAAGAGAAAGTAAGTTGTACTAACAGCGCCGAGTCGTGAGGAGAATTGATTCGTTTGACGAGCGAAAAGCGGCATTTTCTAGGTTCAATAAAATAAATGTTTCCAACGATTCGATGGAATCTATAAGGAAAATGGTATCTTACTTCATACCAAAAAAAAAAAATTCTTGAACAGACGAGTTTTCAGCGACATGAACCAGGCCCTTGTCCTTGTCACGCTTCATCAAACTAGTAACCAACTTATCCTAAGACACCGTGTTAAAATTGTAGCGCGAGATAGGCCCACGTCCTGATATGATCAGAAATACGACGTTGGTCACATATCATCATGTATGACCTGGCTAATCCAAGAGGTCTTTGAAGCTCATTTGGTAAAGTATCCCACCGCGGAAAGTGGAAGATCTGAACTAGAGTCCTCGCCAAAGATTTATATTTTTGTCTTTGTTTTGTTTTCTACTTATCTCCTACGCTAGAGAAAAATGGTAACACCATTCCTCATTCGACGACTGAGCCCAAATTTAGCAATCTTTCTTCATCGTTCTAAGTACAAGACTCTTTCGACATTGCTGATCCTAGCAGTATAAAGGAAGGCGTGTGTCACATATGAACCAGCATATAGTAATGACCTTACTCACGATAAAGTTTCCTGATGTTCAGAGGTGGAGAATTAAAGAACGGAATCGGATGATCTGAGGTGCAAGTCTTCGAGGAAGACTCACAACTTTTATTTGTCACCGTGGGCACACTCGTCCCAAATGCTTAACATAGTTCTTTACATAAAAATGTGGTACTAACCTTCCCATACAGAAACATATCGCCCACACAATCCCACCGATGGCCATAATGATGCCGAAGATTATGACAGTTACGTATAAAATACTCCAATCTGCAAATAAACCAAACATCATTACTCCTAGACCGAGATAACCTTACAGTCTACCTGCTAAAGTAATTTACTACGTGAACGGTGATGTTGTATTGCTAGCGGGGTTCTTGAAAAGGAAAAAACAAACAAACAAACAAACAAACAAAAAGGCCACAAGCCACCTACCGCAATTGCTTTCTCTAGTTCCAAAGTGCACTTTGAAGAAATCCTGCATCCAAAAACTTTCGCAAACGCACATCTTGGTGCTGCGATCACAGTAACCATGACCTGAACAGTTATTCCTGCAAACTTGAAGTGCAAGGTAATGGTAAAGTCATAACATTAAGGCGCCACAAAGGGAATCACTACTCTCACTTAATGGAATGCTAGTTCGTTTTGACCTACTTGTATCTCTGTTGAGGTTGGATAAGATTAATCGCGACTGTGAATGAAAAACTGGAAAGGGAAATTTTGAGTTTGAAATTTCCCCTTAGAATAAATCAAGATACCACTGCTCTCGGCTGCGCTTAAAGCTGCGACCGCTTTGGTCGCCATGCCGAGTAGAAATCGACATAATTTGCAATTGAAGACACTCATTTGGCGGCTCAATGTCGGTTGCCAAGTACCAAGAAGTCACGTAGTATTTTACTCAGGTTTTATTATCTGATATTAAAGTGAGGTACACATTCTAGAACAAAATCTCTTATTAGATGTCTTTTTTTGTTTTGTTTTGTTTGCTTTGTTCTGCTTTCTTTTGTTTTGTTTTGTTTTGACTTAAATTATATTTCCAGCGACCAGTGTGGGATTTCAGGTCGCTGGGAGTTAACTTAAAAAAAACAACAACAAACAAACAACAAACAACAAACAAACCAACAAACAAAAATTAATAATGATAATAATAATTATAATAATGATGATAACAATAATAATAATAATAATAATAATAATAATAACAAAAAGAATAATAATTATAATTAAAATAATCATAATCATAGTAATCATCATCATCATCATCATCATCATCCGGTGACCTGACGTTCAAATACTTACTATACGGCTCTACTTTCAACATTCTAAACTCGAAGAAGCCTTCCTCGTTCCCAATCTTCTCCTTTAATATTGCAGCCACCTCGTAGCCATCCTTAGCTTTGAGCAATTTATCTTTAACGTAAAACATCACCTTCATACTGTCGAAACAAAGCAAAACAAAATGACAATCGATATTGCATTTTCTCTTCTTGTTACAGTACCTCGAGATTTTATCCCGAAACGATTTCTTTATCCACCAGAAGCTGTATTATTCGCAAGTGTTGTTTGGTTTTATCAGAATGAAAAAAAAAAAAAAAAAAATTAAATAAAATAAAATGGCAAGGAGAGGGGGGATGCTCTTTCAATGACAAGACCAAACTAAACCAAACCAAATCAAACCAAAGCCAGCACAACGGCTCCGAGAGAGAACTAGCGAACAAGTAACTTTGGATCTGAATATGACTTCTCCATATATTTCTTTTTGAGTTACTTTTGAGAGTTTTGAACAAGATCAGGGCAGTAACTTCTTAGATTAGATAATGATCCAAAAAATAAAAAAAAACTCAAAACCTCTCTTCTTGAGTATGCACTGATATAATGATGTGAAATAGCATTTTAATAGCTCCTGAAATGAGAAGGCTGGCAGAGTCGTCCATTCAACAATACAAAAATAGCTGAACCCTCTGGTTTGTGTGAATGAAAAAGAGCTATCTTCTAGGCCAGGCAGTATTTTACGTACCTATGTCCGACACCAGCTTCTTTTAAATGCTCCACTATAATATCCTCATCTTGAACGTCAAGGATTACAGCCAGTTTACGAATTAACTGCTCCTGCAGATGTACAAGTTAGGGAAAAAAAATAAAAGTTCAAAAAAGAGAACACCAAGCGCTTTCGAAAATCTATCCTTTTTCCGAGGTAACAACCCCCCCCCCCCAAAAAAAAATTTTTCTTTGAGGGAAGGAGGATGGGGTCACCTAACTGGTCGTTCACACGCTAAGAACCGCTCATCTCGTAAGAAATAAATAAATGAATGGAAAAATGAATAATTAAATAATAAAATATATAAAATTAAAATAGGCAGTACAATGTACCTTATTTTCTTCAGTGAATTTCGTGATGTCGACATCCAGGTACAACTCCACAAGATGAGCACTGTTTTGATCTGCAAGTCAAACAATCAGATTTTCAAACTTCTGCACATGTGCAAACAGCACTCACCACTTAAAGCCAGCCTCTGTATCCTAGTTAGTGCGCATACATCTCTTGTGCACTCTGAACCTTTGACCCCAAAGAGTCAGTAACATCTAATTTTCCCTTACGATATCACCCCTGATTCACGCATTAAGGTCACAAGAAAAAAGGAAACGATCAACTAGGAGAGCTCCTAATTGTTAAACAAATCCTCTCTGTCAGCACCCTTGAAAATGCATTTAAAACAGTATGGAGAATATGCATACTGAAGTTGCGCTGTAAAAGGTTAGCCACCAAGCATTCACGAATTGATTAGGCAACGCACCTTCTTTTACAGTAAGTATGACGTCATCGTTGCCCTTGAGCCCCTTCCCATCAGCCACAGTGAGCTTGAACTTGTATATTCCCTCTACAAGGTTTGACAGCCGCAGTACAGCCTGATGGTCACTGTTGTTGATGACGTCCTGTAATCAAACATAATAAATCGACTCTTTTCTTGCCACGTTTCAACCATGGAAACCAACATATGATGTGGAACGGGAAAGACTGGAAGGAAGGAAATAAGTGCGCAAGTGCAGCAAGCCTTGGGAAGGAAGGCCGGCCATACTGTTCTCCGCCAGGAAACAACGACAGCGGCTACAACACTTTTTGCAGGATTAAGGCTATGCGCGCGAGTTTCAAAACTTTGTATTTCATAGACAAGCATGTTAAGTGAAAAAGTTTGGTTTCCCTTCGAGAGATTTGACATTTGATGGAAACTTTCTGCAAATTTTGCTCTAGAGTTGCAAACGCATTTAAACTGTTGACTAAAACACAAACTGATTTTTCGTAAAAGGAAATATCGCGACATTTGAAAGAAACTGGCCTGCGTTATGGCTTAAAACTTCATAGCTACATGTATGCAGGTCTCAAATACCGCGTGCACGACCGTTTATACAGGCTTAGTTAACACTTACACCAGCCGCGGGACTTTTAGGATCACGTGACCACTCGTACATAACAATCCCATGATCATCATATGAACTGGATCCATCCAGTTCCGCTGCTCGGTTTGGGAGATGTACCGTGACATCTGGACCAGCATTGGCAATAGGAGGCTTATTTATATCTAAAAAATAAAAAGGCAACTAGGTGTCAACAGAGACAAAACATCCGCAAATATCTGCGGGCTAGGGACCACTACCTGACGGAGCTTATATCGGTTAAAAGAGCACGAATAGCCCTTTTAAACCCTGAAATCAGTATCCAAGTTCTCCCCACTTTTTTCTATACATTTCCTATGAAACGAACAAGGAGAATTTGTCTAGCAATCAAGTGCCTCTAGGAATTGGCGATCTTCTCTTTCATTCTCAAGACCTTAATGTTTGATTCTAAGGGTGAAACTGTTGGGAGAAATTGGATGCTTGATTAGATCAACCACTGTTCGTCTTAGGTAGAATGCCAACCTGCCCTAAACACAAGAAACCTCTAAATCATTTAGCTCTCTTTAACCCTTTACCCTTGGCGTGATTAGCACCTAATTTCCCCATACATTATCACCGCTGAGTCAAACGTTCAGATCATAAGAAGACTGGAAATTATTTCCAACTGGAGAAGCTCTCGATTGTTACACAAATTCTCCTTGTCATCATCCGAGGAAATGTAGAGAGAATAGCAAGGAGAATTTGAAAATTGATGTTAGGATGCAAAGGGTTAATAGCTTTCCATAAACAATTTACCGATGTACAAGCTCTTGGTTAGCGAAAATGGGCGAAAAAAGCGGGCGCTCAAACGACTGCGGTTTCCTTGACAACCTCGACCTCCGTGTTCAGTAACCGTGTAGCTCACCCACCCTTGCACTCGTCTTCAACGACGGAGAGCCCGAAACGGATTCATATACATTCCTAGGTGGAGAGCGGTTATGTGTGAGTAATGTTACTCTCAAAACACATGTGAACTCAGCAAACATCGAACCTTCACTGTTTGATCTAACCCCGGAAATACTAAATTAAAAAAAAATAAAATAAAAAACGGTCCCCTTGATCAGACGCTATTCAGCGGATAGATGTGTTGCGCGCAACTGTTGTGTATTGTTTGCCGCTTAGAGTTATCCCACAGCCATTGACACTAGGCACAGCTGCTGGAGTCTAGCAATATCACCAAGTCTGTGCGCCAAAAGTTTCAGAAAATTATTTGTACACAAGGGCACACAGCAACGCACGTGTTTTGGCATGGACACTTTGAGCGTCCCCCGAAAAATATCCCATAGTCCTTTACTCGGTAACTTCCGTTCCCAGGCCATCATTCTTTTTCAAAGTGAGCAATTTGTTACGTAAGTCAATTCCACCGCACGAGATCTTGTTGATTGCCCGCTAAAACATACGATCACGTAACCTATCCACATGACGGAGACCGCAAACTGAGGGCTTAGCGCTAAGAGGAGCAAGCAGCAAGAATCGTTCTTGCCATCCTGTACTTCGTGCCTTGTGCGAACGGCTTCGCTTTCCGATCGCGCCTCGAGCGGAGAATTTCGCTTGTCGACCATTGTCGCGACTGGTGTTTCAACAGACTCGTAACGCTATCGCATGTATCACGGGTCCATCGACAAGAATGAGTTGCGCTGCAATTGTACGGTTAATTTATCCAGAATTTACCCAAGCAGGCCTTCATTATCAACGCTTCAGCACGAGCGTTCCTTAGCCTGCGGGAAAGTATGAAGCCTTAAACAACGCAAGTCGGCGAGAGGTCTACAAAAATCTAGCACTGATAATTAGTGCTAGACCCTCGGAAAACTTTCCTCCCAGCACATCTCAACTAATTCAGCTGGCAGGGAGACGCGCGTCCTGCAACACTTAAAACAAGGACAGCCTTGCAGGCTAAAAATACTATAACATGTACATGTACTACACGGTGAAGTCACAGCTACAACTTAAGAGTCACCTTTCTTAACATTCACTGCCACTGTATCAGTTCCCGTGAGTCCCTTGTCATCTGTCACCGTTAATTTGAACACATAGTGACCTTCTAAAAGTTTCTTAACCGTCACAACTTTGTCATTGACCCCCGACATCTCAGCTTGGCGCGGCCCGCTTCAAAAAACAAAATAAAAACAGAACGAAGTCAATTACAGGATGACTTATGATTCCATGTTACTGCACCATAAGTTGCAAGAAATTATCTGTTTCACAGGTTGATAAGCACAAGTAGGGAATATATGGCGAGCTAATTCAGGCAGAGGGCAAAAACACCACAAGACTTTTACAGAGATGTTTAAAGTAAGCAGGTCAGAGATGTAAGTAGTCATGACAACTGCGCTAGGGTCGACAATCTAGTTAAAACGGCAATTATCAAACTGAATTTACTCAGTGGAGGGAGAAGGGAGCGAAAAAAACTTTTCAGAGGTGGCAGAGGAGGCAAAAATGTGGCTTAAAACATTGTAACCGCAATGAGATAGAAAGCAAACAACATGCTCATTATGGGGAACCGCAGTTGCCTAGATAGATGTTAATGTATCTTTATCAGGGCTGTATTTCAGGGAGCAGTAAAACATAGATACATAATACACCAGCCGATGGGAGTGGTCATAAGATGACGTACGACGAGAACCGTTTTTTGCCCCTACTCCAACTAGGCAATTCTAACTACGTAAATCTGGATGTCAAATTTGATAGCAGCGTGACAACTGAGAAGCGCTTATTTGTACCAACTCACCTCGATTGCTCCCAGTGGTAGCTGACAATTTTTTGATCATCATGACTAGATGAGGCATCAAGAACTGTGGAGTCGTCAGGAAACACCAGATCCTGAAAGACAAATAATTGCTTAAGTACTTCATTCACATAAAATGCACACGAATCAACAACTGCCGATAAACAGCAGACGTACTCTTGACAATCAACCCTGTTAGCCCCTTTGGTGACTCAGTAGAAAAGAAATTCCTCGCTGTTCCATTACCATATAGGCACACAGAAAGGTGCAAAGAAATGCAAAAAAATACAATCTACAGAATACATTTGACTAACAACAAACTCTCAGAAACAACACTGATAGATATATATTCCATTCAGTATAAACGAAAGGCTATTTCCATGACTACGTCCTTAGTCTCTCTTTCAAAACGAGGGTGGATGCACAGTCTTCGAAAAGAACTTTTTACTGTAATACTTAATGATTTAACGGTTTTTGGCATCTAGCGTAATTCTGAAACTGATATTCCACGGAACTTAGTATGGCCTTCAAAAAAAGCGAGCTTTGGAGTAAAATTGTAGTAATATCTGCAACAAGGCAAAAATTACAACAAAACAGAAACGTGAACACAGGGAAACCAAACAAACCTTATCTGACCCGGCGACTGCCACAGGTGGGGCATTCTTCTCAGGTTGAACCACTACTGTCAAGCTAGAGCTAGCAGTCTGTCCCCCAGTATCGGTCACTTTTAACACAAAAGTGTAGTCACCCACAACCATGTTGGACACCTTTAAAGTTGGAGAACTCGTGCCCTAGTGAAAAAAATCACATTGCAATTACATGTACAACCAATCACTGCAATCAAGTGAAAGCATCTGGGAATCTTTGCACAGATTATCATGATTCTGGAAAAGGGACACTGTATTGCAATTGGGTAGAAGAATCTAGTAGCAATGTGTTAGTGACAGATCCTGAATACGAGAATACGATATGGACCTTAGTGCGGAACGATTTGCTACATCCTTATCTCACTGTAAATGATGTGATAAATGGGTGCAAATGTACACTGCAATTTCATTAAATTAATCAGACCAAAACAGTTTTGCATAGGCACTGATTATTTTCTTTTTTCCTTTTTTCGTTCTTTTCTTTTTTCCTTTTTTCTTTCTTTTCTTTTTTCTTTTTTTCCCCTTGTGATTAATCCTTTCACTCCCAAGATCTAATTAGTAGTTCTCCTTACTATCTGCCATACAATTCTTGTGATGTTAGTTCAGAGAATTTGGTATTGGATCAACTAATAATCCCATAATTGATATTCTTCTCTATTCTCATCACCTGCCTGCTTGATATTGTATTGATATTGTAAGGAGAAATTCTGTCTTGGTCACTTGTGGGGGTGAAAGGGTTAACTAGTAACTCCTATGAATGACCAAAACAGAATTTCTCCTTACAATATTAATACAATACCAGACTGAAAAGTGATGAGAATAAAGAAAAAAATTAAAGTAAAAGATATTTAGGGGATCCAATACCAAATTTTCCTAAGTGACATCAGAATACTGGTATGGCAGACAGTAACGAGAATTTCTTATAGGACTGATCTTAGGAGTGAAAGGGTTTAAGAAAATCGAAATCCTCTTTAGAAAAGGAGCATACTACTTAATTTCCCAAACAACAGCAGGAAACTGAGCCTTACAATAAGTTTCCATCTTGTTATTTCATAGAATTATAGAGTAAGTTGCCTAAAAACATCTCATTTAAGAAGCAAAGTATAGCACTGTACACAAGTAACATACTGCGTATTCATGTTTCTACCTGCATGTCCCCTACAGCTGGACTGGAAGGTGTTTTGCTCCATTCATAACTGACAATACCCTGGGAAAAAAAGTATAAATAGGAATATATAAGTATCATTGCTACCCCTAATCAGCTATCAGGAAAAAAAAGTTGGTTTTGAACAGGGCCAGTTGTTCTGCAATGCTGGCCAGAAGGACAGGATCATACCTTGGCAGGTGAATTTAAATATGGCTATCCTGTATTTGTTCAAATAAAAAATAAACTTAAGTAATCTTCTTTATCTATCATTTAAGTACCTTGTCATCTGTGCTTCCATTACCATAAAGAGTCACATGATCCACAGGAAGTACAATCACAACATCATTTCCCGCACGTGCCACAGGTGGGTAATCTTTCTCTGGAATAAAGAGGAAAACACATGATGGTAACTACAAGACAAATGGACTGAAAAATCCATCAGTTAGCTTAAATACACCATTGACATGACTCATATCATCTCTAAAGCAACAATGTGCAAACAAAATAAATGATTTCTTTGAGATGACACAATTCATGAATTCCTTCACTGGCACTGAAACTTCAGAATATGTTTAACTCTTTGGCTACCTGAAGTGATCAAAAAGAACTCTCTCCTCTCAATTAAATAGTTACAAATACAATTTTTAAAAACCAGACAGCTGATATCATGAAAGAATATTATATTAACAAGTGGGATATCACTTGATTTAACAAAACATTCTAAGAGCTACAGTAAAAGTTGATGAGATAGAAGGTAGACAGTAGAGAGAGTTGATAATCAGATCTTAGAAGTGACATGGTTGTGTATGCATGAATAAGTGGGACTTACCATCATTAACAGTCACTGTGGCTGTAGTGGAATCTGATTCACCATCTGAGTCAGTCACAGTCAACCTGCAACAACATTAAACATTTACAAGAGTTCAGGGAGACACAGTGGCCTTCACCTGAAGGGGAGTCGTTACCATTATAATTATTCTAATGAGTTCCCCTTAGGTTGTAAAAATGTCAGTCACTACCACAGACAACACTTTTACTCCAGATTACTCTTCCACAGACCATCCGACATTGCAATCAAAATAAAGTACAGTTATTGTAGTGTGCTAATGGCCAAAAAGAATACTATTACAGTAATTTGTGCACATAACTATTCAGCTAATTCAACAATATCAGTATCAGTGTGCATATTCTCCACACTCGTTTGGATACATGTCTTAAGGTGCCAACCAAATAAATTTAGAATAAGAAAGATGAGAAATAATAATAAAAAAAAGATGGGGATTTAGAATTTTTTCTTTGTCCAATGCCCATGACAAGACAAAAAATGTCTTTCACTAGGAAGAATTTGTTTGACATTCAAGTGCTTCTTTGGTTGCTGATCATTTCTTTTATTCTCATGACTGTAATGAATGGTTCAGGGGTAACATTATAGGGAGAAATTATATGTTAGTCACTCTTAGGTGTCATAAGGCTACTAGGATAAATGGTTTGAGTAACAGCTGACTGTGTTGCCATATCGCCAATGTCATCACTCACTCTCTAAGGTAACAACTTATGTTGTATGCAGAACTAATCTCAAATGAATGAACAGATGACAATATAGGATGTGACATACTTAACAGACAGTGATCAAAGAAAAAAAACAAATAAAAACTAGCAAACAGTTGCACAGATCCACCAAAAGACCTACTTGAATGTGTAGATTCCAGGAACAAGAGACTTGAGCTGAAGCACAGGAGAGTCTGCACCTGAGCTCATCATTTTGTTCTTGTCATTTAGAGGACCTTTCACTTCTTCCCATTTGTATTGAGTGATTTTGTCGTCATCTGAACTCTCTGCACAAATTAGAAAAAAGATGTTAAAGCACCACAGCACTCAGCTACACATACACTTACCACTTGCTTGCTGGAACACAACACTCACTTCTGTAATGTTTTACAACTTCATGACATTAAATTAAGTAGTATTAAACCCCAACATACACATACAGTACCTAACTTTGTCTGGGACAAAATCATGAACCCCCAAAAAAAAATCTTTAACTCCATAGATGTAATTGTTAATCCTGCCATCTAACTGCAACACATTTCCTGGTCAATTAGAGAATTTGGTGTTACATCAACATAACAACTTCCACCTGAATACTTAAAGTACGTATTCAGGTGTATTCTCATGACCTGTTTCCTGTATAATGTAGCATGGAAATTACAGGGAGAAGTTACATTTTAATCACCTCTGAGACTTTAGGGATTGAAGAAATGTCATAACTGTAACATGAACTAACCATAACATCAGCCACAATGAAGCTAAGGTGACCAATGCAACAGTTTCAAGTGATCATGTATACAAATTCTTTATGGACAATTTTATCAATTATTTCTATTGTGCAATGCCATATATTAACTTCACATTTGTTTACTGAATAATTTTGAAGAAAACTATCCTCAACTTACTTGATCCATCAAGTACAACCTCGTTGGTTGGCAAGGTAATTGTTTGTTCCTTAGGAGAGATGTCAGCACGTGGTGGCTTATTCACTCGAGGAGCTAAACAAGTACATATGTACAATAAGAACAAGAAAGAGAATCAGAGCACATTTCAACCCTGTGTCAAAAAGACCATTCAAAGCAGAGAAAAATACGAAGAGTATCCAGTGACATTTCAACACAGGACAAATTGGCAGAAGTGTGGAGAAATGACCATGACCAAGTTGTGATTGGTTTTAAATTACCATCTGATAGGTCAACAAGGACATTTGTAGTCATAGAGGGAAGCAAAGTACACTGTAATCCTTAAGAGTGACCTTAGGAGTGACCACCATCTAATTTCTCCTTACAATATCACCCCTGAATAAAACATTGTGATAATGAGAATAAAGGAAATGATCACTGATCAAAAAGCTCCTGATTGTCAAACAAATTCTCCTTGTCATCACCATGGAAAATGTAGAGAGAAAAGTATGGAGAATATGAAAGTTCATGTTAGGGTGTAAGGGATTAATTCAGTACTGCTCTTATTGATATCTTAATAGAATACTGGTAATAGCAATTTCAGAGACACAAATCGTTTTTGTATGCTCATTTCATTCACCCATTTAACCCCTTACAATTTTGCAAACATCAGCATACATAAAAATTAATTATTCTCAATACTGCTCTTTGTACATTCCTTTTGACTAAAAAGAAGAATCAAGAGCTTCTTTAAAATTAATGGTGATCATTTCAGATTTTCTTGTGACCTTAATGTTTGATTCTTGGATAATATTGTCAGGAGAAATTAGATGCTGATCACTCAAGGGTGAAAGGATTATGAGTACTACATGGAACACTCATGGAACAAAAAATTCCTTTTCCTATGTTCGGAAATTAACAATTTTGTGTACTTTATTTATTAGTATAATGACATTAGACACAACTCACCAGGCAAAACTGTGACATTAATAAATGCATATCCATAAGATTGGTCCACAGCTGTAACTTTCACTTTGAATTTATACACACCAGATTGATCAAGCTGTTTTCAGAAATAATAATCATCATTCATCATCATCATCATTTATTTGCCATTTTTAACAATTAACTAGAAACTATATAATATATATATACATATATATTTTTTAACAGCATTGTAATCATTAGGCAAAGAGACCCCAAGAGACCACCTGGCTTATAGAAGAGGACTTCTTACTGACAACAATAATTATATTTTAAAAATAAGTGCTGCAAATGTGCAGCTTGGCCAATTTAGTGATTGTTTGAGTGGAAACTCTTGCACTTTGGTCTTAAAGCTAAGAAGACTTATGAAAAAGTGACTGATACAGGAAGAGAGTTCAAATTTTTAGGACCTTGATAAAGAATTGTTAATTGCTTGAGATTAATTTTGACTAACACAACTGCCTTCAATAATTATTGGCTGTTCTAGTGCCATAAAGGAGCTTTTAGTGAAGCAAAAGAATACAGTGTACATTTTCATTTTGTAACTGTGACTGAAGGGTCTCCAGAAGATCTCAATGTTCAGAGGATGTTATTTTACATACAAACCTCTTTAGCCATGTATAAGTACACTTTGATCCTTGTTATTTTTAGTCTTAAACCCTAATAAACACAAGACAGGGGTAAAATGAAGTGTGTGTTCATCAGTATACCTGACTGAGTATTACTCTTCTGGAGTCCTGCCCCTCCATGTAACCATGACTACCTTCAGGGGCTGAGATCTGTTGCCAATGGTATGAGTATGGATTTTCTAACAATCAGAATAACAGGATAATGAAATTTAAGACATGACTGCATGGTAATGTTTAAAAATTAAGCAATAGACTGCTGTCTCTATCAGCTTACCAGCCTAATAACCTGCTTGGGATCTGGGTAGAACACAACAAATGTTTTCAAATCACTTGCCTCCAATTCATGATTAGTAAACCTTTTCATGTGTTCTCCCAAAATTCCAAGAGGGATATGATACATGCACATAAATAGAAAGTGCAGTCTATTGCTTCTATAAAACAAAATTAAAATGGTTCAATTTTCTATGCCTTTGCCAGTGCAACAAACAATACTGTACATCTCAATCAGGGTGCCTGTAGTAACAATATCTCAGCTGTTTTGCAAGTGACTGATGGTCAGTTATTCTACAGGGATTCTGTACATCTGCATGATACTTGGCATATATACAAAAGTCATGTAATTTTTACAAAAAAATTAATTTTTTACTCTTAACACAAGTTGGAGCTTCACACTGAATTTTACCACAAACAATTAAATTTTAAGTTTCAAGCCTTACAGTACCTTTTTTTGATCATGAAAAAAAAAACAACAAAAGTGAAGGTTTTGTCAGTAACTTGAGGACGATGGATTGATCAAAGTTGCAATTGATTCAGTAGACTTAGCAATAGTTACCTGACGTCTCCTTTGGCCATGCACTGGCATACAAGCTTACTGTGTTCACTGGAAGTGTTAGTACTTTGTTGTCACCGGCAGAAACTTCAAGGGATTTGTGTGGCACTGAGGACAGAGTGAATCATTATTAGAGAAGCATGTAACACTCAACAGTTTGGTTTACACCAGAAGAAAGGTTACATTGTACATGTATGTGTTTGCAGATTACATGCAAATAGAATTCTACTGCAGTAATCAAAACCAGCATAGTTTTCTAAAGGTACATGTATATACAGTGTAAATTCGCTGCACGTTCATGCACATGCAGATAAAGTAAGCTCCTGCCAGTAATTTTTCCTTGAGCTCATTACCCCTTTAACTCCCTGAAGTGATAAGATACAACTTCTCCAAGATACCCATACATTATCTAGCAAACAGGTAATGGAATACCCAGCTTATCAGGTACAGTGTTGAAGTTGTTAACTTGATCTACTGTCACACTAAATTCTTGCAACCAATTTAGAAGGAAATGTGTAGCAGCTAGAGAGGAGAAACAATCAGATCTTAAGGGTTAACAAGTGCTACCCCAACAAGTCTATGAGAAGAGAAGGTATACCACAGAACATGAACAAAATCACCCCTCAATTTGGAGCAGAGACCCATAGAAATAATACTTCGATTGAAACCAGAAACACGCCGACTTTTATTTTATAATCTTACATTGATATATTTTTCTCTCACTCATGACTTCATACCTATTTTGTTGTTAGTTGTAAAGTAAATTGTTTTCAATCACAAACTGATTTTTGTAAGGTGTAAAGCAAGCATGAAGCTCACTTTAAGTTGAGAATGCATACACTGTATGAATTAATGCTCACCTTCAGGAGATGGCTTTGCTGATGGTCCTGTAGTTGTTGTATCTGTAATTATTACAATGAAAAGAGTAATTCATTTATAACTCAGCATGTACTGGTAGCTGAGTGGAAGACAGCCATGTGAAAACTTAATAGCACAAAAATTTCCTTGTTTCCCCACTTCAAAACATCAGCATCAGGAAACTCAACTCAACATTGATCCTTTAATTTTTTAAAAATCCACTGTCAAGAGTCAAGTATCAAGGATTGAGTTAAAAGAGATTGTCAACTTACTTTTGAGTGAAGGGGGTAAGTTTCTAAAGAAACTGTGGTACTGTGTCGGTGGGAGAGCATAGCAGGTTAATTTAGTGTTAACAAGTGAGTTGAAAATGTAAATTGGCCACCATAAAGGATAAAAAAGTGGTACTACATGTATACCATACCATAATCTCAAAGCTAAAATAATAAGAACTGTTTGACAAAGTTTGATCATGAAGTCTGATCATCCAGGTGAAGTTAGACCTGAGAACAACATTTCAAAACTCTAATAACAACTTGCTTTTAAGTCAGTAACACCAACAACAGTCCTTTTCAGACCTTCTCTCACCTGGACAATCTGACTTCACAGTCAAATGATACCCCAGGTTCAAACTATTTACTTTATTTAGATATTGGGTGTGAAGGGTAGCAGAGGAGGGGGAAGGGAATCAGTACACATGTAAGTTTTCTTACCAAGGTTTGTTTCAGACTGGTTGGTAAGGACAGGTTCTGAAACAAGAAAATTAAAAAATCATAGGTTTTATAAAAGCATTAAATGTTAAGAATCCATCATTTTTGTTCTAAGCAGAAACTTGAAGAAACTTAAAAAACATAGCTACAAGTTTGCCATGAAGTTGTACACTGTTTCCATGCATTTATATATACATGTAACTTGTTTAACAAACAATAATTCAAGCTCACTGTAGATTATGGTTATCCTTACTTAGAGTTACTGCAAGGGGAGTTGCAGAAGATGAATTTTCACTACTTTGTGCAAGGTTCACTTCTGTGGTGTTAGTGATGTTGACAACAGTTGGCTCAGTCATTGGATTCTGAAGCATGGAGGAAGTTGACAATGTGGAATTTGACGGCAGAGGGGCAGTTACAACCTGAAGTAAAATGTTCAAGGATCAGATTAATATTAATATAAAATACTGTGCAACTGAAAAAGAAAAAAAACCATACAACAAGTCTACTTGATAAATCATTGATGGATTTACTTGAAAAAAATGTATTATCATGGCAGAGGGGCAGTTACAACCTGAAGTAAAATGTTCAAGTATCAGATTAATATTGTTATAAAATAAACACTGAACAATCACAGGCTAAAGAGAAAAAAGAACTTAATTAATCATTAATGGATTTACTTGACAAAATGTATTATCATAATTAGAGACTGACAAATGGAGAAAACAAACTACATGTAAGAAAAAAAAACCAATGAGAGGAAAATAAACAAGTAAATGGACAAAGAAACAAAATAGGATGAAAAAGTGATAAAAATAAGCAGCAAGTATTAATTAAAAAAAGAAAAAAAAGTGTCTTGTGACAATGGTCTTGTGCCAACATTTGCAGTGAAGGTTGCCACTTTCACAAACTGTGCTCCAGACTGAAATATATTCATTTTGCAATTAAGCCTGCTAAAAACATTGAGCTTACGTTCTTAGCAAAGAGTCTTTCACATCTTTTACATCTATCATTATTTAACCCTTTAACTCCCAAGATCTCATTAGTAATTCTCCTTACTGTCTGCCATACAGTTCTTGCATCATAAATTTGGAGAATTTGGGATTGGATCAACTTGTAATCCCCCAATTGATATTTTTCTTTATTCTCATCACTTGTATGCTTGATATTGAATTAATACTGTAAGGAGAAATGCTGTCTCGGTCATTCATGGGAGTTAAAGGGTTAACATTGATTTAAATTTAGCTAAAACAAAACATTCTTCAACTTTTTCCACATAATGAGATACAATTACACATACATGTATTCTGTTCATATACTGTAGCAGAACATCTACAATTTTCAAGCCTTTGACCTGATTTAAATAAAATTGGTTACCAGAAGTGCAATTGGCACTTAACAAAAATGTACCAACACATACTTTTTTGACATTGTTTGCTTCACCCTGATTAGGCACTGATGGTTCATCTTGAGGGGTTATGTCCTTCAAAGCAGAAGACAGTCGACTTTGCTGGGCATTAGAATTCCTATCTCCTGACACCACCTGAGAAAAGTTTCCATTATTCACCATATCCTCTCCCATTATCACTGCCTCTGTGGATGGCATGACTGCTCCAATAGATGGCTTTGTTACTGCCATGTCAATGTTAGAATGTCTTTTGGATGAAGGATGGCGCGGTGCTGTGTAATGTGGGATAGGTGCAGCAGTGGTTGCTTGGGTTTCATGATCATCAGTGTCCTTATCGTCATCATCATCATCATGGGTTACCAATGCTTTGAGGTCTTTTGAATTGTCAGCATCCAAAGAATTGACCTGATCCTGTTTATTTGATTCTGTAAATACAAAGGGAGCTTCGTCAAACCCCATTCTAATCAAGTCTGGTTTAACTTAACCTAAATTTAGTCTTAAAGCTGGTTTAGTGTACTAAACTTACAGTAACCCTTTAATTCTTAAGATCTCAGTAATTCTCCTCACTGTCTGCCATACAGTTCTTGTCATGTTAGTTTTGAGAATTTGGTATTTGATCAACTTTTAACCCCCCACTACTCAAATTTTTCTCTATTCTCATCACTTGTCTGCATGATATTGTACTGATATTGTAAGGAGAAATTCTGTCTTGGTCACTCATGGGAGTTTCCTAAGTATCAACTGAATTGGAGAATTATTAGACACAGTGCATTAGATGAAATTAACGACTGCGCAAATACTTGCATGTAAATAAAACCAAAACATGTGTTTGGAAAATCATAATTATTTTAGTGCTCTAAACTTGACCAGTTTTGGTCACCAGTGACTCACAAAAAGACAGCGATGCAACTTTATGGTGCATGCCACCAATTTGACAACCAGTGCTAGTCAAAATCTATATGACCAAAAACCAGTGACATGTTCAGCAACTGTGGAATATTGCATGAATATTTTTTTCCTAGCAATTTAGTTGTAAATGGCAAATTAAAAAAAAAAAAAAAAAAAAAAGGTGAGCTTAGTGCCCTGTGTTTTGGTCATTGTTTAACCCTATACACTTCCTCATCAATATGGATATTCTTCATACCCTTCTCCATACATTTTATAAGGTGCTGACAAGGAGAATCTGTTAAACAATCAAGAGTTTCCTTTGTTTGTGATCATTTCCTTAATTCTGGTGGCCTTGATGTGTGATTCAGAGGTGGTATTGTGAAGAAAAATTAGATGCTTGTCACTGTTTGGGGTCTGAGGGGTGAAAACATTGTAACACCAGTGTTGATACATGTACATGTACATCTACCTTACCTTTAATGCCAAGCTTTACACAACCCTCTGCCTCTTTGGTTCCCTTCTCAGGCAAAATACTACAGTTGGGCAAAATAACAGCCAAGTAATCAAACTGCCTTGCAACTCTAAAATCTGATTTGCATACACCACTCTGCAGTTCCTCGCAGTCTTCTCTGCACAGTCTGACTGGTTTTGGTTTGTTAGAACTTGAACAGTATGGGTAAGTTGTGAGGCAAATTGCTTTCAGTGCATATTTTGCACAGTCTTTGAGTAACCGTGGCTTTAGAAGACTAAAAGGACTTCTGAGGCTCTCTTCCAATATCTTGGGATTCTTGTTTAAGTACAATAGTTTGTTTTTATCTAAGTATTCATTGCAGACATGACCATGGTAGTGGTGACAACTTGCTTGTCTGAAATAAAAAAAAAAGAAAATTAATCAGAAAAAAATTAACAATTTGTAGCAAGCATGCAGTGGCATCAATACACTGCAATGAAGACAGGCGTAATATTTTGTTGAAAGGCTGCTGAATTTAAAAGTGTTCTGTAGCAGATTCTGTTGCAAGTAGCCAGCTTTCAAAGCAGGTGCTTTCTTTCACCATTTGCTTGATCAAGTGAGACGAGTCTACACCAAAAGTCATGAATTATTAATTTTATCACAAGAGAAGAATACAATGATTGAGTTTTGTAACTTGCTGCAGGCTAGAAATTACCAGGAAGCAAGATCGTTGTTACTATGCAAACAAGAAGGGTTTCAAAGCCTTTCAAAAACGTTTGTTCATAGTGTGAATCTCATGCAGCAGCTACCAGAGGATGTTTTTGCAATGTGATTAGTTCCAGAAGCTGAACAACTATGTCCATTAAAAGGGACTCTACTCTGAGTTTCTGTTCTTGTACTATCTGGCAACTGCATTTTTGTATTTGGCAACCATTTTTTCTTTGATAGTCACCAAAAGGCTACTTGGAATTTTTTTTAATTTTGAGCCCTGATGTAAATGAAATTTCTCCCTAAAGCATCATTGCTGTATCAAACATTATGGTCATGAGAATAAAGGAAATGATCAATAAGTTTTAGGCTCTGTTAAGTAATGGAGAAAGATGTTCTTTCATCTTGTCAAGAGTGTGGGACAAAAAAAAAAATTCCAAATCCCCATGAGGAGTCAATCTTCACACCTTCAGCTTTCATGCTCCGATGCTAAATTCTTTACCATCCCTTTTATTCTATAATTACAAACATGACCCTATTGACACTACTGATCCTAGCAGTATGAAGAACACACATGAACTTTATGAGCCTCTCTCATCATTGAGTCTCTCTGGCTCAGAGGGAGAGCATCAGGGCATGGAATCTGAAGGTCTGAGGTTTGATTCCTCATGGGGACTCAGACTTTTTACTTTGTCCCACACTTGTGATAAGATGAAAAACATATTTTTCTATCATAAGAATTGTATGACAGACAGTAAGGAGAATTACTAATAAGCCTTGGAAGTGCTTACTGGTATTAGGATATAGAGGGTTATGTGTCCACACGAACACCAAGAGAAGAAGCCCACTCAAATGTCGAGCTAAGAGCCACTTTACAATTAACTACTAGATTAAAAACTCTCATACAACATTAGTATCATCTCAGATTATTAGTGATACTAGCCCTCATTATTAATGTTACAAATTATATTCATCTACTAAAAAGCTAATAATGAAAAAACACATGTACCTTTTTTCTCGAATAAGTTCCTTGTTTGGATCAGACTTCAGCACATTTGTACTAGAAACAAAAGCAGCACAATTTTAAAGAAATTGGTACTGATTATAGAATACATAAACTACTTTTCTCAATATAATGTTAAGCATAGTAATCAAATCTCAAATCAAAAATTGTCACTGTACAAACCTTTCCAGCTGCCTTTTCTTATCAAATTTGGCTGAAAAGTAACATTTGAAAGAAATTGAGAACAGAGTGAATACCTATTTTTGTCTTTTCAATGTCCATGTTATTTGATAGTTCACATCTACACAACTTGAAACTTTTTATTAAAAAAACAAAACAAAACAAAACAAAACTGTTTGGACACTCCACTTTCCTGCGCAAGAATTTCTCATTGGGCATACTCCCAATCTCAACATTTCTTACACAAATCATGAACACAGCAGTAGCTTTGATTGCCAAAGAAACATGTTCAAGAGAAGAAAAGCATTACCTCATCCATAAGTCAAGAACAAGCCATTTTTGAGTATATACAATTGGAAAGAGAGCGCATTTTGCTCTTGCTCTTTAAATGAGCATGATCAAGAAATTCATTTTGTTCCAAATTCATAAAGATGATTAAGTTCCTTATCTTAGGTCAATTTGGTTCCTTGTTAGATGCAGGGGAAATACATGTGAATCCTTACAAATTCACAAGTAGAAGTTGTCATTCTTGATCTAACACCAAATTCTCATAACAAATTTACAAGGAAATGTGTCACAGCCAAAGGAGAGAATTGACAATCAGATGTTGGGAGTTACCAGGTTAAGGCCATCTAATGACTTATGACTCAAACAATCCAGCTTTCGCTGATTCCTTGACAACCGAGTTTAAAGCAGAATCAGTTCATTTTCTTCCAATTCTGTTGATTTTGTTTTCACGTAAAGGAATGACCATACTCTAGGCACTCCTAATTGCTTAGAACTACTGTAATGGGGATGAGTGTTTGCAGTTAAGAGACAAGCAACCTCTCAGACTTCTCCCACTGATAACAATCATTAGGTTAATAGCTTAGTCATCAACAACCTTTTTCCCTCAAATTAGAGCCTCGCTCATCAGATACGATACTCTGCATTTTGGATTGAAACATGCTTAAACTTATACCTTATTTACTGTTCAGAAAATATTTTTTTAACAACTGGCAAGATTAGAGATTTGATAATTGCACTTTTAGATAAAATGAAGAACCAGAAGGTAGCCTCAGGAAAACTAAAACAAAAATGAAAATAATAAAAGAAATAAATAATTCATTCTCTTGCTCATCAAAGGTCTTTCAAGCCTTTACTTTCTTACTTAACAGGCGTTAAGTCCGTTTTCGTTTATTCAGCTGCTGATAAATTTCAGAGAGGCGAGCACTAGATTAAAAAAGTGACAAGTTATTTAAACACTCGGATACAAGATCGTTTATTCGTAACTGCACAGGGCTTTGTGTAATGACGGCAAACGATCTTCAGTGCAGGTACCGAGAGCTATCGAACAATGTGAACGGCGCTTACAGCTGATCGAAACAAAAGGACTAACTTTTGAGTTTTTGATCGCATAAATCTTGGCCGGAATTTAAAATACAACCAAAATACTCCCATTCTGTGATTAAAATACCCGATTGCCATGAGTATTGACTAAAATGGTACGTAAGAATTCACATTAGGAACGCACACGGAAAACTGACAAATCCATGATTTGTACGTTGCAGAGCCCAGCCAAAATACTCTTGATTCTTGTGAAACAAGACGAGATTACTTCTGATATATAAAGCTAGAAACCTTTGGCTGATATGAAAAAAATAATTAGCTTCCTTACCGATGTTCCGTACGAATATTCTAGGAGCCACAAGTCCATCACGCTTCACACTCTGAGGCATGCACGCTTCGGCGGACTTGCATTGGACGGAAAAGCAACCACCGTTGACAAGCAAGGCCAATTCACACGAATCGTTTGCACAACACAGCTCTTTGCAAGTGGTCATGCTTGTAGTACGTTTGAGAATTGAAAAGTCTCCAGCAAGCGCCCCATCTCGAAGAGTTGCACTATTCCATTCGCGACCACCTCTAGTGCACTTTCTAAAGTTGCTCTTATTCGAGGCCACAATTCCTACAAAAAACGTAAATTTCTATTAGAAGCGGCGGTAATTTCCCAACGAGTTTACGTTCGCAGTGAAGAAAGAACCACACCAACCTAAAACCACGAATAAATAAAACAGAAAGAGGCACGCTTGGAGTCGTGATTTCCTACAGGACGCGCAACAGACAGAAGCCATTGCATATCCAACTCAAGTCACGTTCGATTCGAATTGTTTTAACCTCCAAACGAGATTTTGCGATGTTATGTCCCACAAGAAACGTTGACCTGTAAAATTTCAAATACGGATGCTTCCTGGTAATTAATACGCATCTTTGGAACTCGAGAAATGAACTTAACAACGTCACATTGCAGTTCAAATTCCTGTAGTTTATCACTTCCTTCAACACACAACCGCCATCTTGATCGGAAGCTGTTTATGGTTTATTGATTACCATGACGTAACGCATACGGGGATCTCGTGACGTCCGAAGCTTACTGGTTTGAAATCAGCTGATGGCGAAATAGCCGTCGGAAAGTTGTTTCTCAGGTGAGGAGAGAGATTTTAGTGTATTCTCTCCTTTGGGGCTATCATGATAAGTATAAAACAGAAGTGGGAAAGAACATAGGAGGTTCCTACTAACAATCATGAGATAAAATGAATTCAAAAAAAAAAATCACGTTACCTGGCATATTTTTCACTTCTTCAAGAATGTAATATTCACATCCCTATCTTTTTTAAGATGAGTTCCTACTTTGGTGATATTTTTCGTTTACAGTTCCATTGCTTTTTTATTTGATATAAATGCCTGAACCCGCTTAAGCTTCCTTTAACGTGTGTAAATTCCCTTTATAACTGGGCTAAGAAACTTGTACAGGAATACACTAGCAATGCCGTCTTTGCCAAGAAAATCGCATAAAAGAGTTGCCAGGACAGATAAATAGTTTCTGGAAAAATTTCTTTTCTTGACTGAGACAATACATTGAACTTTCATTCAATGGCCATTCTTCGTTAAGGTTGCTGGTTTTTTTTTTTTTTTTTTTTTTTTTTTTTTTTTCAATAGCCATTCCTTGTTTAGTTTGCTCGTTTTTTGTTTTGTTTTGTTTTGCTTTTGTTTTGTTTTGTTTTGCTTTTTTCTTCGTTTGCTCGTTTGTTTGTGTTTTTATCTGTTTGTTTAGAATCCATCCAAGCCACTTCTGTCCAGTTTGGTTGTGGCGGGAAAAATTCCCGCCAAAAATTCAATGCAGCTCGCGCCGGACGCGTTTGCCAAGTGAAAACAGTAAAACAGTTCACAAAAGTTAGCCTTCCTTGCTAGAAGCAGTCGTTTAGCTAATTAGCGATTGAAATCAAAACAAAATTGAGCTAGACTAATCAGTTATCCCCTGTCCTTTCGTAAAACATACGGACAAGATGCTTTCAACAAATGCAGTAGCTCGATCCTGGCCGTTGGAAAAATACGCAAAGTTTATTTACACTGGAGAGAGCGGAGGGCAAACTGAAAGTCAGGGATACTGGAAGGTTTGTTCGTGGCTTTGCTATAGTCTACACATCGAAATAATGTGAGTTTTGTTGGCTACAGATGATAACTGAGGTCTTCTAATCGACCATTTCTTATTTGGTTTTAAATTTACAGCAATTTTCGTCCGCCGAAGGTGGTTTTGAGGCCTTACAAGTGTCATTGTTAGAATCAAACATGATTGTCCGCGAGGGAAAAGTTATGCACGTCAGTTTTTACTTTATTCTTGTTTGTTCAAAAGTCTGAAAGCGTTGTTGTAGTATTTTATTTAATGAGTTTTTGTTACTGATTTACTGACTTAAGCTACAGCTGAATGAGTTAAGAAAAGTATTTCAATCGGTTCGAGTATCCAAAGGACTTGATGGTCACCACCGTTTGTATGGAGAATGAAGCCAAGACAGGGAAAAAACTAAGCCAAAAATCGTTTATTGCTTGTTTTCATCAGTACGAAAACATTGGAACGTCTTCTTATCTGTATTTTTGTTTCACTCTCAACTTCTCATCTAAATTTAAAACGACTCTTCCTTACCTTTAATTATTATTTTCCGTATGTCTGTTTAATTATATATTTTTTGCCTACACCAATTGTATTTTAAAAACAAATTTAGCGGAATTCAATTCACTGCTATGAATATACAAAACAATTAAGAATAGATGTTTAAAATGTTCAAATCATATTATACAGTCGTTATTCGTCAATTTTCAGGAAAGTTTCTCTTTGTTTAATGCCAGCAAGTGGTTGAAAGGCATTGTCAAAGGCGATAGTATGCTGTTTCTTTACAGGATGAATGTAAGTATTATTATCTGTTGTTGTTGTTGTTTTTAACCCGCGTTCGGCATTAATACATGTCAAAGGAGACAGATTTCTTGCGTTAGTAAACTTCGCCCACGAGCTCGTGTTTTTAAAAGATCTGAGCTTTTAAATACTTCTGTGATATTCTGAGGTTCAGCAATTATGTTCATGGTGACTGTAATATTTTTCCTCTAAACGAAAAAAAGAAAAATTTGTGTTGTGTTTCCGTTGGTTTTGCAGCTTACAAGAAATGTGTAATGATATTTCACTTTCTTGAGCTATTCTTTCGTCAGACATGTATATATGCGCTACTGCCTTTGAGCTGCAACCGGCCGGCCTGAGTCTAAGCAATAAGGTACTTTTGGAATCTTAAAACTGTATTTGTTTATTTACAGAACGATTGCCGGCGATTCAGAATCAAATTTAAAAGAAGCGCTGATCGATTAGCGATAGAAAACTGCCGCCATTTTGTTTCCGAGATCTCGCCCAAGATTCCTGTGAGAGAGCTGCCAGCGTCTACTGAGTCTGACTCGCAAGTTCCAATGGAAGACTCTCAACTTATTTTATCGGATTCCCAGCCAACCAATAGAGGAACTACCGACAGTGCCAGCTGTGGATCTGCTTCCGTTGGTCTAACACTTCCTGTCTTAGCAAATAAGGTTCGTACAAAACGATAACTGTCGGAAATCGCCGTTATGGACGAGACTGTACTTCGTGGTAATATGAAAAATTCATCGTTTCACTGTGAAAAATAACTTTTGCGATAAAATCTGTAGACATCAATCGGGATGAAGTATTAAGAGTAAGGAAAAATCGAAACAGTCGTTGGCTGTTTTAAACTGGATTTTTGCGCCCATAATGGATAGTTTGACACATTTCGGTTGCCATTATTATGTGCATGATCCACTAGGGACTCTGCGAATCAAAGAGCTGTCGTTTGATAATAATAGTGGCAACTGTATTACGTCATACGATCCAAGAGGGCGCCTCCGGGAAATTCAAACATCAATGTAGCTTGTGTTTTCTTCCAGTTTTTATACATTTTGGTTCTTGTTTCTCAATATTTCTGAACGAATCTCATAGTACAGGACATTTTTGTTAGTTTAATGGCTAGTGGAGCTTGTTTAGCTCGCTATATACCCAACTGGTGGTAGTCGGCTTATACTTGATTGGCGACGAAAGCACAAAAGTGATTATTTTTAGCGTAGGCTGTGTGATATAAACCAATAAACAAGGAGTAAAATGCCATCGTTTCCCTCTCAAAAACGAATTTGCAATCCTGTGAAGAAAGCATGAAAGTACGATCGAAGGAGAGGGGAGAGGAGACACTAAGTTTGACATCGATTTTTTCCTGTCACAGATTACATCGGTAGAATCTCGCTTGGATGCAGTACAGAGCGGTAGTAACCTTATTGCACCACAAGACCAATTAAGCCTGATGATAAGACTCTGTTTGACCGACAGTAACTTCCCTGACTTCGTGGAAGCTGTGGAAAAGGAACTGAAAAGCCTTACATCCCTAGAATAAAGGAGAACCGATTGATATATACAGGTGTAAGGATGCTCGCTTGCCTGATGTTAAGATGTGTAGAAGTTTTGTCTACCAGGTGCCTAATAATATCATGGGTCGTTAAGAAGGACAGACCGGAACGTGTTCGAAACCTTCGCTATTCTTGTCTTTACAACGCTTTGGGTTGTCACATGACTTCTTATCTTTCAATCAACCTCATGCCCGATGCGAATGAACTTCTTAACCCTAACCCCTAAACACGTGTGAGTCACGCTTACGGCCAGCTTTATCAACTGAACAGCGATGAATTAGAAAGGCAAAATTACTTTTTTTCCTATTCAAGTCTTGTTGTGGCAAAAAGAGGAGAATTTCTCAATTTACCCTTTCTCCTATTGAGTACTGGTATTATTTATTTTACTCGAGCATCACCTTTCTCCATTTTTCAGTTATTCAATACGAAAACAAAACAATAGAGAGCAAAGGCAAACCGCGAAACCTCAAAGAGGAACAACCAGATCAAAGATAAAACATTTTATTTTCGTTTTACATGGTTAATTACAAATTATAAATACAATGCCAAGGGCTTCTCGGTTTTGTCAGTCTCTCTCCTCCTACTGTCTAAAATTTCCTATTTACACCACTGAGATCTAAACACAGCTTACAAAATCTAAAAAAATGCGCAGAAAGCAACTAAGTGACATCCTTCAGCAAAAGTCTTTTCCCCTCAATCACAACTGAGGCATGAGAAATCAATATATGAGATCTTACTAGGTGACTGCGCTAAGATCTAACCATTACAAGTGCCTAAGTACATGCAGAACCTAGAAAACTCCTTTTACATTTTCTCATTTGAACATTGGAGAAATCTACGATAGCGGTAAATGGGTTAAGCTTATGGTCTCCTTCTAAAATAACGGACCTGTGCATTTTAAAGGCATTTTACGACAGAGACAAACAATAAATATTCCAGTCATATTATTAAGGATGCGATGTTTGCTAAGAATGATTCAGGCGGCCTTGTACATTTAATGAAACTCTTCGATACCTCTTCCATCAGCTCCTAGAAGATGCTTTTTTTTGTTTTCTTTTCTTTTTGTTCTTTTATGAAAAAGTTTACTTCTAACCATGCCGACCATGCTAAATTAAAGAGAAATAGATCTTCTCTGTTATAATGCTTTGCCTTTCACACGTTATAAGTTCTGCATTGCTCGTCTCGACTTGGAATCCAAGCTTATGACACTGGGTCCGTTAAATCTTTCCACAGAGCATGGTGGCGGAGGGCCGTTATAACTGAGGGATTTCTTAATAGACTGCGCTTCTTTAAGGGACGGAATTCTGTTCCGGCGAGGCACCTCTGTGTCCTCATCTGAATCACTTTCACTATCGCTCAAAAACATCGGGCCGTTTTTTATGCACTTGGGGTCCCCTGGAAAGAGAAGAAAATCTTCATCATCTTTCAGTGCGGGAGAAAGTAAAGAAGCAGACTGATTATATGCAATAAATCAGTGTTCAACATCGTGCCTGATGCTCTTCGTCTAGAACAAGAAAGAACTGGGGATGGGAGTGCACCCCTTTCTGCTCCTCAGGCTCCAAAGTTGCTGACTAGAGATTCATATACAGACTTTAAAAATATCGACGGCCTTCCTTATTAAATGATTCGTTTCCTATCACTTCACAGGACCACTTTTTTACAAAGATTAAGACGAAAAATCCTAGATACAATGTCTGACGTGCAAAACTTTTAGTAGTTACTTGAATTTACATTCCCTAAATAATCTAAAAGCAAGGGAAAAAGCCTTTCGAATGAAAAATGTTCATAGCTTATCATTCTTTTATATATATATATATATATATATTTTTTTTTTTTGTAAACTTTAATAAATTTGCTTCTCAAAGCAAAAATATATTGTTCTCGCAATAAGATGTTGCGATTGAAGAATCTAGGTCCTGTCTACACGCCAAAGTTAAAGAAAGAAAAGTACCACTCTCGTTATTTACCGAAGTTATTGTATTGTTGGCCAAACTTTTGTAGATTCCAGCCCTGTGGTAACATTTCTAGTCCTTGAGGTGAATCACCGCATTCGTTCATCATGGTAAATCTGTCACTTGGTTCGTCTTTCGATCGCAGTCGTCTTCCACTAAACCAAAGACACATAAGTTGTTACAAACAAAACTTTGAGAACGGAAATGACTCTTCATGACAATGGAAGTGAAAAACATGAAAAGGATTCTGAGGGAAATTGCAGATGTATTTAACGCAGGAAGATCAACTTTGATAAGATCACTATCTAAAGAACACTGCTAGAATAGCAGAAAAGATCACTATCTATAAAAGCTCTTGACGGTTAAATTCTCCTTGCCGCACTTAGGAAATGTTTAGAGAGAGAGTGGAAAATATGCATACTAACGTTAGGGTGTAAAGGGTTAATATTGTATTAATGTTGCCTCCCTGACGAATTTAGTTTGTAACATGTCACTGCTGCCAATTTACTTACCGATGCCAACAGGTACAGAGGGTCCACATAATTCCAGTTATGCCGATACCAATAGCGATAGAGCCAACTATGATGTACCACAAACTCCAGTCTTCAAGATATGCAAACAACATTTCTCAGATTAGTTTTTGTTTCGTTATTAACGCCTTTGTAGCAAATCACTTGCTGGAAGGGTTTCCATATAAGGTGCTTTTTTATAATACACGAGGAGGTCAGCTTGGATTTGTATATCGTTAAGTGAGAATATGCCCTATCGCGATGCAACTATCAAGAAAAAGTTGTATCGAGAATGAAATCGTAGACAAAGCCTTTTAAAATCAGGACAAAGGTTTAGTTTCTTTTTAGTTAACTGACCTGTGCCTGGTTCTTCGACCTTTTTCCTCGAGGTGATATACGCAATCTGCGATCCTTTATTGGCTGTAGGATGAACTGGTACAGGTACACAAAGCTCTTTACTTGCGCAGTCTCCAGCGTAACAGTTTTCTCCTAAAACCAAGGCCAGGTCACATGTCTGCTCAGCACAACAAAGAGCTGCGCATGTCTCGATGCTATCCACTTCGGCTATGTGCGTGAAGTTTCCAGCTCTAAGACCTCCTAATAAAGTATGGTTGTACAAGATGTGGCTACGAGTACATTTAGGAATGGCTGTATAGTCAGCACCTTCGTCCTCGAGCAGTTCTGCGATAGAAAAACGCTTAGAATAGTCAGCATCGATGAATTTACTTATACCCCATTCACACCAGCAAAACATGTTTTGTTAAACTGGTTTTCATTGAATGAAAATTATAAACAGAGAACTGAAAAACTTGATTTTCCATTGGATTCAAGTACTTGCTAACTTGCATTTCCAATGTGCTACATTCAAGTCAAAAATATTCGGCTAAATAGTTTCTATGAAGAAAAAAAAATTAAACTGTGTTTAACAAAACAACTTTTAAACATGTTTAAGCTTTGGTGTGAATGGGGCATTAGTTTCAGAGTTATTAAGAGCCTCCCATCCGTTGTCAATTTTTACCCCACAAGGGTCAAACGGCTTACTTTTTTCCATCAGTCCGCCTAAAAGGCTAGAATTTGATTCGTATCGCACTCGTAAACATGCACCCAGGATGCTTCCGGTGTACAAAAAATATTTCAAAGTCGTGTCGATTTTGGTATTATGCATCTTCTCGTCGAGAATGAACGCGATAAAGCTGATATCATTTTCGGTACTCTCATTCTAAAGCACTTCATTCTTATATAAAATATCAGTGAAATGGCTAAGGCTTTCAGAACTCCCATCTTTCCTAGTAAGAACGCACCAGCTGGTATAGATCTACCGGCGCGTTATCAAAAATGTGTCGGTCTGATTGTTTATACTACTCGATATCTATTCCATTACAGATAGTGACTAGGTTACGATTTGTCTGAGTTTCGCATTTGATTGTTTTAAACATTGCGAGTTTGGAGGACCACTCACAGAGCGAAATAAAGAAATCCTGGGTTACTGTGGAAACTCAGTTGTATAGCACTGAACACTGAAAAAGAGTAAGTACAAATTTACCACTGCGATACCTGTTTCGTTTATTTTTGGCGCCCACTTTAAGAACGCTATTCTGGGGTAGAACTTGGAAGGCTGAGCGGGAATTGTCTGACAAACTCTACCACTTGAGCATGTAACTGAGTAACAGTAGCTTCCCAGCATGAAGGCTAAATCACCACTCCCCAGTTCGCACGTTTTTCCAATGCACTCCTGCATGTTTTTAGTCTTTCCCAGTGATGTAAAGTTTCCGGATTTAATTCCTCCGAGCAAAGTGACGTTTGGGTAGATTTTGCTAGCCGAGCACGTGCTAGTTTTTAGTATGGTTGGGTGAGGCAACTTGTCGCTGATAATCTCATGTATTTTCATGGTTGGTATTTCTGAACTTGGTGCTGTTGGGAGGACGTTTGCTGTGGAAAGAAGTGGAATAAGTGATGGCTATGCTCAAGGTGTAAATCTCCTCACTAATTCACATATTTCTCATGGTGGAAGTTATGAGATTCTAGTCCCAAGTGTAAAGTGCTTAGTCGACAAGCGTTGTGAATGTCTGATAACCTTTAACCTGTGAGCGAACTCCTAGATATTTTTTACTGACACTCGAATCCAACTTTCTTCTCTTTATACCTATATCTGATAACTTTTTGAATACTGCTAAATGCCGAAAAATACTCTTTTGTAAATGTAATTAAAATGTAGAGTAATCAATGTTACCTTTTCTCGCTGGCCTCTGAAGCTCTCTACGCCTGATGAAGGCTATTTGCGGGTCATATTTCGTGGGCCTCGCCTTGACTGCCTGACAGAGCTCCTCACTGAAACAGTCTACTGCTATACATGTTCCTCCTATCATGAAGGCCAGGTCGCAAGTCTTACGCTCGCAGCAGAGTGCAATGCACATGTGCATGTTCTTCTCGTCACCAAGGTCGCTGAAATTTCCGGCTTTTATTCCACCTCTTAGAGTCACATTCTTTAAAATTGGACTCTGGGTACAGTGAAGTTCCTCCTGAGTCGACGGATCTTCCACTGAAACTGAAATGTGGGCCCGCAATCAAAATGAGAAAGTGGTTTCACTTTCATGTCACTTCCTCCCTACCCCCCGCCCCCCCTTGTTCTGAGGCATAAATTGGTTGATATTGAAGCTATTTGGTTTGAAAGGAATGCTATTTTACAAAAGGAAACGTTACAGAAACTCCTTAAATTAAGTTTTCTGTGAATGTATGTTTTTTTATCGGAAGGGAAAGTAAACGAACGCAGGGAATGCTTCTTGACGCTTTCTAATTCGTTGCGTCAGGCGTTGTACGAAACAGAATCGATTCAGCTTCGTTTCAGCAGAGATTTAATTAACGCAGAAGTAAAAAATGTCCAACTTGCTTTGGAACTGAGCAATATATATATGTAAATATTACAGCATAGTTGCGAAGTCGTAACCAAATGCAAAAGAATCCTAAAGCTACTGCTCATTTTGAAACTCAGTCAAAGTTGATCTCGTAGGTGCTAATATTTAAGTATAAGATCCAGGAAATACGGAGCTTTTTAAACATCTACTTTTTGTTACATTTGAAATAAAATAAATCTGCACACAGCATATTTGAAACAAAAAATCTACGGCACTAACCTGCAATTTGATCCTTTGCCGGGTTTACAGCAATCGGTCGCACGGCTGCAATCTTGACTGTAACATTGCTAGGCTTTACAGTAGTAATCTCACAGTGTTTCTTACTAAAACAGTCAACACCATAGCAGTGATTTCCAGGCATAAAAGCCATCTCACAGTCATCCTTGTCACAGCACATCTGGATACAGGTCTCCATGTCTTCAGCTTTGCCAAGTCGCGAGAATTTCCCGGCACGCAGCTCATGTCGAAGAGTGACATTAGAAAGTATCGGCCCGTGCGGGCATTTCAGAGGTTTGACATTGGTTATTTCTGATACAAGGCTTTCCTCTAAAATTAATAGAAAATGATAATCATAATATTAATGATAGTTATGATGATAATTTTATTAATAACAATGATAATAATTTTTTTTACAGTCGATAAAAAGTAATGAAAACTCTAATTTACTGCTTGGCCAAAATTTAATTCTAGTTTATCAAGTTTCCTCCACATTGCACGGGTCGCAAGGACTGAAAAGTTTTCAATACATGTAAGATGTCGCAAATAATTTTGCCTACTTATACAGCCAAAGCTTAGTTTTCCTAAGTCAAGGGCACAAAACGACATTTGAGAAGTTTCCAATTATTCGTGATAACAACAAATCTAGACATTTCAATTAGTAATTATAAATACGATTGAGAGAGATACATAACTATGTTAATATTCCTTCTACTTAGCTTGACTGGTGAAAACATTTCCCCGAGGGGGAATATATCGCGAAATATTACTTTTCTTTTTTCTATTTAAAATGTGCAACGAAACTCTTGGCTGGGTTAGTGTCTAGAGTAAAGTCCTTTCCATATTGCACAAAGTTGTATTTATAGCGATCTCTGTATTTCTTATTCATTAACTAATTACATCAAATAAGGTCCACGGTCTGTGTACCCTATAGATAGGGAATTAGAGGTAATTTAACGTGAAGAAAACAAGCGAAATTTTGGAGCAATATTATTGTCGAGCTGAATTTTGTTTAGCGAATTTGAACATGAACTTACCAGTTGAAGCATAAGAAAACTTGAAAAGCAAAACAAGCGATATAGGCAGCGGCAGTTTTCCAAAGCCCATAACTTTGACAGACAAACATTAATCGGAATTTCAGAGATATATAGATTTTTCCTAGTGATAGATCTTTGCTCTGATGCGAAACGTACTGGGCGAGGCGTTGCGAAAAATTTCTTATTCCACGTGTTTCAGCTCATTTTGTATGCAACAAAAGCCCATATCCACCTTGAATTTTCCTTTTGTAATAAACATAAAGTTCATCAGACCGGTGACTCTATCACGAACCATTCCCTGTTTTTGTTACCATGGCAAACAAAGCCTTTTGAATGCGCAGGGCGTGTTGCTGTGAATAACCTGCAGTGCGAGACAAAGCTGATGGCAGGTGATACAGGTGGGCGTTGTATAAGGCGAATAAGACAGGAGTCTTTCTATCAATTAGAAATGCTGTATGATGATCAGGATAGGATGACTGTGTAACAATCGAAAAGCTGTTTCGATGTGTCTGATAAAGCCCTATTGCTTAAGTTAGTGTTCATCCAATATACTGTAGTCTTCTCATCTATAGGCGTTGTTTAAATCGGCCTCGCGCGTTTTCTAACCGACCAAGCTACTTTGTCTAAACAACACCGTGAACGTATAACAAAAGAGGAAGAAAACGATTTTAGTCATGAAACTTAAAGGCCATTTATACATCATGTTGAGATTCAACTTAAAACGAGATGATAAAGGTACAGAGTACCTATCATTAATTTATTAATTCCCAACCCTCGACGACCGAGCGAAGTTTAAAACTTGCAAGGTTTGCGAACAAATTGTACACGTGATGAAATGACTTTGAGTGTAATGTGAAACACATAAGTAAGAATTCAGTATTTTCAAAACTCGAACAGTTCATGCTTCCCAAAAGAGTTTTTTACTTTAATGGTAAGCAGTGTCTTCAAGTAGGTTTATCATTTCTGAGAGAGCAAATGGAAATAACTGACTGGTTGCTTTCAAACAGGATTAACATCCTCAATATTGAAGTGTATGGAAAGAGAAGAGAAAAAAGGAAAAGAGATAAAATTACAAGCGAAACATGAGAACAAAAAAACACTAACGGCGCTTCTTTAAAGAATTTCGTATGCATATTTATGTAACACAGAACACATAATTCCCAAGACATTTTTGTTTATTTCTTTCATTTAAACATTAAAAAAACCCCTCGTATCTGTACAAACTTATATTAGAAAAATTATATCAAAGAGTTAAACTGGCCATGGAAAAAAAGGGTTAAATGCAGTAAATTTTTTATTCTTGCATATGTCCCGCTACCACCATAGGTTTGTGGAAGGAAAAACAGTAAATGTGGAAATGTGTATAAGAGGCAAAATGTTAGTCAATCAATCAATCAATCGGTCTGTTCTTAACAGACATTTCGAATTGATTGAGCCCGCGGTTTTTGCAGTACACGTCGTCGTCGGTACACGTCGTAGTACTTTACTGTGCCTCGACTCCAATTATTGTAAGATTGCTTAGTAAATTCGGAAATCTATTGAATTGATTACTTTTCCTTCACTATAGCAGTGAGACCCCTACATGTTTTTAAAATCAGAATCGTTTGTAAAGCAGTAAGTTTACTTGTATTTAAAAAAGTAAATAGCAAAAAAGAAAGGAAAGAACCTTCTTGTTATGTCAGTCATGAAGTTTGACTGATTGAAACAGGTTGATTTTCTACATAAAACTATCGTCTAGCGATAACGTAATTTACACGCTTGAAATCGCTATATCAGTAGTGGTATTTTTCACATGGCACTGAAGCATAGGTCTGGATTTTTTACAGCTATTTACTCAAAAACTTTAAGTGGACCGGATCATTTAAAAATATAGTCTATTCTTGGGTACAAATATGTTTTAGGCGCTATTCAGAGGTCATCTTAATTTTCGCCTGACGGCTACATGACTCTAAATTAGTCTGAGTCATTCTCTCGCACGTAAAATCTATTGCTTTATCATAATTATAATGATAACGATTATAATAATATTCACAGTGATAATGATAATAATTATGATTATAATGATGATAATGATAACTATAATGATATTGAAAATGACAAAGGTAAGTCTAATAGTACAGCAATTGGCTGATCTTGGAGAGTGATATTGACGAATCTTATTATCGAAGGTTGCCTTGATTGATTCGTGGCCAACACCTGGCAAGTTTGTTAAAATCAAGCCTTAGTGTAGCATTGAGAAATGCTATACTCTTGTCAAAGTTATGTCTGCGGTGACAATTCGTAGCTTAAGCGTTTGTCCTCCTTTGTTAGCCACTATAGAAATATTATTCGTAACAATTCAATTTCACCCTATTCCGCCACTGTTGTTAAGTTTTGCCTGCTTGAGGCGAATAAGTAGCTTTGGCGTTTTCTTGTAGGACCCAGAAAACCAGAAATTTCTACAACATTTTTGTTTGTTTCAAAGGAAAAGCCAATTATGCGTCAGAGAACTAAATCGCAAACGTCAAAAAGTGTTTGCCGGTGTTTCTAAGGTCAGCTTGCATTTTCTAAACATTTTTGTAGTTGGTCAGTACAAAATTGACTAATCAAATAAAAGTGTTCGCAGTTTTCTGATTTCACAGCAAACCTTTGGTGTGTGTACGTCTCTAGCCTATTACAGGTGTTAAGTCGGTGAAATGGAGCAAAATAGTAAACGGCCCGATAGGAGCGCCGGAACGAACAAAGCTAAAGGCTTGGGTCGGGTTATGTAAGGGAGGGAGGTAGGTTTGGGTGGAGTAGCCTCCTTCCTTTACGCGATCCAAGCCTCACGCTCCTTCCACTCCGTCGCTACTATCGTGCCGGTTACAACTTTCCTCCGTTTCACAGACTGAACGCCTGGAACAGGACAGTACGTCTCTTTCAGATGAAAGCTAAAATACAAACTCTTATTATGGTACTCAGAGCCAATCAAACCGTTGGTACATATAACATTACGTATTTCTACTGTCTACCTTTCTGTGCATTTGGCGCTTGTATCTGTCTCGGTCAAGTTTACGCCTTGTATCCGATATAGGCACGTCGGATAACTGCTCACGAAAAGTATTTTTATTTAAATGCTCACTTCGACGTTTTCTGACGCTTTGTGGAGCAAGTAAATTGCTCTTTGTCCTGGCGTAAATATAAACAATTCTGGGGGCGTAAATCGATGACCGCGCCCGCACAGCCTCGCACAGTTTCTCGTTAAAACACATGACTGAAAAGCAGTTGTTTTTCAACATAAATGCGACATCGCAGCTTTTTGAGATGCAGCATATTTCAACACAAGCTCTCATGTTTGGGACCTTTCCCCGATCCCGAAAATGTCCAGTAGAAATCCCGCCTCGCAGAGTGACGTTTGTCATCACCTCACTGTTTGTGCAGTAGCCCTCTTCCTTAGTATCTAGGTCCTCTCGATCTTGGGTGTCATTAGCTTGATGTATTGTCTCAGTCTTGGTCTGAGTATGCTCTGGGAGGAAATGAAATCATAGTTAGGCACAACCCACTTTCGTCATTTTATTGTGAAGCAAATAATATAAATGCTTACAGTTCCATAGGCCTCGATGAACTACCTGCTATTTACGAACTAAACACAGCTGTAAATAATAAATAGTGTTTTGGAGCGAAAGAACGGTACATTTATAAGAGCTTATTGACATTTTGGAACATCCTTGAATGACGACCAGTGACAACTAAATGCTTCAAATAGTTTTAGTGTTTTTGTTGCCGTTTTTGCCTCGTGTTTACCATGGCTATCGCAGATAAATGTCCCCTGAAATAAAAGAAAATGTTCCCTGACATACAAGAAGCCAATTAGTAAGTATTACCCTTACATCAGTTTTAATCGTTGTACCCGGTTGAACTTCATTGTATTCTAGTTTTACATCGATTTTTCTCACCTTTCTTGTTCTGACTCCCAATATCTCTTCTAACGTAGGAAAGTCTGGGGTAAAAATCAGAAGAAGGAGCTGGCACCTCTTCGCAGAGTTCTTCGCTGGCACACGTGATAGCATAACAAGAGTCCCTTAACATCAGGGCGATATCACAAGTATTTCTCTTACAACACAAATGAACACATGCTTCCATACTGTCCACGTGACCAATTGGAGTGAATTTTCCCGCGGAAAGTCCACCGCGGAGTGTAACGTCATATGATACAACGCTAGGTCTGCAATACATGCCGTTACCAATGGCTATTTCTTGTGGGAGAGCTGTACAAAAGAAAGTGGGAAACACTGGTTTTGAACAACTTCTGTATAGTTGTAAGTAATCCGATTATTTTGACTGCACATTGTGACGTGAAAATAATGAAGTTATTTTCAACTAATTTTTTCAAAATGATCTGAATTCACTTTGATTCCTCATGGGATTCAGAACTTTGTCTCACGCATGTGATATGATGTAAAAACATCTTTTTATAAATTGAAATTTTCACAATGTATGACATACCTTCCTCATCTCGACTTGTTATGTATGATAACCTCGGACTCAGGTTGGTCAGTAAACCAGACTTGCGCGCAAGTACAGGCTGACAGAGATCCTCGTTGTAACAATTTACCGCGTAACAGTTCGCCTCTAACATCAGTGCCACGTCGCAATCCTTTCTACCGCAACACATACGAATGCATGTCGATATCTCGGATATTTTACCCAAATCTGTGAAGTTACCAGCCTTTATTCCACCTTTTAGTGTCGAGTTGTATTTTATATCACTGTTTTTGCACATAAGTTTTGAGTTTGTAGCTGGAAGGTTGCTCAAAGTTATAGCTGTAAAGAAGAATGTGTTGTAAAAAGATTAGGCCAAAGATAGGAAAAAATTGACGCATATTGTGAATTACTTGATGATAATTGATAATTTAGTCCTCATTCAAGATCCAAAAGATATGATCTATCATTTTCCTACTTAGGCCTTACATTAAAAGTTGAAATCTTTATAGTAATTTGTTTAATCAGAAAGAAGATTTGGATTCAGAAAACTGATTTACTCAAAATAATGACATACGATAAATCAGTCGCACGGCCTTAACAACTCAGTGTCTGCAGAAATATGAAACATAGCTGGGCACAAAATTGTCGCGACAAGCACGTGATCTGGAATCGATAGCCATAACACTTGCAGGCTACTTTCAGCAATTTCACTTTTCGTTCATTATTTTGCTAGTTCTCTTTACGCGACTTGTAATCATGTGCTGTAACTAAAGATCTAAGCAAACCTACATACCTGTGTCCTCGGTGACATTTGTGACCCATCTTCGCACAAATGCCACAGTAGGCTGATAATTCTTAGTCTCAGATTTCACTGTCTTACATAGTTCTTTAGTAAAACAAGATACTAAGAAACAATGCCCTTTTATGATTAGAGCTAGGTCGCACTTTTCTGAAACACAGCAAAGTCGTGTACAGGAATCCACGCTTTCCACAGTTCCTACATCCGTGAAGTTTCCAGCAGAAATTCCACCTTTTAAGGTCACGCCGTCCTCTGCTTTGCTTTCTGCACACTTCAGATTCTGCGGAACAGGGTGAATTCTACGACTGTTACCTACAAATGAGATACACATGGACACCTGGAGCTCAGCTAAGACAACAAGGTAATGATTTCAGCCATGGAGAAAAATTCCTTTTTCACTCCGACATTCAGACTTTTTCGTTCAACTTCATCAACCGCTAAGAATGAGATAAAAGGCGAACTTTGATTAAAAAAAAAAACCTTGAACTGGAAAAACTATGATCTTAAATTTCGAGAATCTCCGTCTGTATAGACAATTATTTCAACGATTATGTTTAAATTTGCAGTTCGCCGTGAACTAATTTTTCAGATCAAAATTTGAGATGAAAGCAATAAAACTATTAAGCCAACGAAATTAGGCAAACTTTCTCAAAGCTAAAGTTAAATTAAATTGTAAGGTCTAACAAGGTATAAAAGTGCTTAGCGTGCTCGAGAACGAGTAGAAGGGTCAATATAAGGACGGACAACTCTGAAGAGCAAACAAGAATAAACGCCGCTATCTAAAAGGGAAGGCATGCTACTTTTGCTGCTCCATTAAACTTACGGATTTCGATTAGTGCTCCAAGCCTAATGGTGAGAGACGCCTTCGCCCGCGGGATACGAATCAAAACTCAGAATTACAAAATCCCTGATGATCACGTAGTATTGACGCGGGGCTGATCAATTGGTCAAAAATTCATCAAAATTTCAAACGTATTTTACAAGGCATCGCCCGTCATTCAACGCTGAGTCGCGTGAGCCAAAGGACGCATCGTCTTTAAAAAATACGCTCTTTTGTTTATGAGATTCATGGTACCAAATCAAGGCAGTGGGTTTCCAATTTTTAGTAACTTGTAGCGTCTTGTACGACGACTTGTTTCAAAGAGATGTATTTCTGCATCATTTTATTGAATACTTTACTCGCGATTGAAAAAAAAATGTCTCTGTATCTTGCACCTACCTTCCTCTCCTTTTATTGTGACATGAGAAATCATCAACGAAGATGGCGCTTTCTTCGCTAGTACAGCAGTACACAATTCTTCACTGAAGCATTGTACCCCATAGCAGTTTTTGCCGGACATGAGCGCGACGTCGCAACCCTTTTCCTCGCAGCACAAGCGAATACAAAGTTGCATTGCAACAAACTGAGCCAATTTCTTAAAACTTCCTGCGTTAATTCCACCACGAAGAGTTACGTTTTGGCGAATCGGGCTCTGCGCACAGGATTCGATGGGACCCTGTAAGTTCTTTGTACTGTTTGATAAAGCTGCAGATTCGAGAATATCACGGGAGTTATTACAAATCATTACAAGCGTTAATTTGAGTGAAATATCCGCTACAAAAACAAAAAGGAATCTTGCATACCCTTCGCTGTAGCAATTAATGACAACAGTAGTACTAGAAGTAGAATGACGGAGATTGTTTGCCACCTATATTGTTTCCTCATGGTACCATGGTGAAGTTTGTAAAGGGGCAACCCGCCTTCACCGATAACACATTCTTTGCATCTTCTGCAGTTCACCTCATGTTGAATTTTGAAGCAAAATGATGCATTTTCTTACGGAAAATTCGTAAGGAAGTTGATTCTGCCCTCTTTCGATGTCTGACTCTCAGAAAACTAGTGAATTATTGAACATTTCGAGTCGTTAGCTAATCTGACCTAACTGGGGTTGTATTGTTCGCCGGAGCTCGCAACTGGTTGTTTACGTTCGCTCTCTCAGGCTATCAAATTCACCTCAAAGGACTCAACCAAAGTAAGTAAAAAAGTTTAGGCTTATGATACTTAAACAGTAGTCAAGAAATAAAGAATACGTTTATCTATAAAATTCTTCATTGGTGTCCGAAGCTCGTCACTCATGCAACTGGTGCTGGAATTAGTCATTTTTGGCGGAATATTCATAAAGAGAAACTGATCACACTACTCATCCGTGACAATGAATGAACCTCGTGACAGCGGACAGAGAGAGAAAGAAAGAGTGCGAGTGTGATCATGAGTGACATGTATTATTCTTGCTCCACATGGGACGCCTTTTCTACGACGATGTTTCTTGCGTGCAGTGTACGCTTATGGCAAAGAATCCCGTGAATTTCCAATCGTGGTTTCTGAAAATGAAAGGCATACGTGCTGGGCAGGATGGAAGTCGTATCTGAGGCAGTGTATTCACAAAATCTACAGCCAACCAAGTGTAGCCTTGGCTAACTACAAGCAAAGTGCACTGGGAAAGTTATATCGCAATGTCATAGGCTCGAACGCAGAGTTATCTCAAACTCAGATGCAACACGTGCAGTAAATGGATTTACACCAGAACTTTTGAGTTAAGCAAGGTTCTTTCTTCTGCCGATCTCCTATATAGGACATCTTCCATTCATATAAGCAAGCTGTTGGCGTCTTTAAACCGTATTTCATGTTTGTGTTGACCAAAAAAATCAAGTAATAATTTCTCCCTCCGGCAAAGAGACAAACAGATTAAAAAAAAGATACTCACTCATTATGCAATTCAGAAGCAGTAAACTGCATTTACAGTCAAACCAATATTAAGCAGGCATCCAAGGAGAATGGCAAATCAGATTCGAGGACTTAGGATTCCAGACCTAGGAAAAAATGAATGTAGCTCATTTAAGAAATGTGGCGTCTTTGACAGTGTAAACAGGGTCCACATTTATTGATAAATGCACCACGCAAAGACGATTTACAATCTTTTGACGGTTTAGGCCGCTTCAAGGCCGAAAATATCACTGAAAGCAGTAATTTTTTTTTTTTTACGATGCATTGAAACACGTGAGATTATATTAGGTATCCATTACTCTATTTCAAAAGGCACTTTTTGAAAGTACAGCTTGTTGGATTTGTTTTCGTTAGCTAAAACTTACTACGTGGACTGGATTAATTTTAGTAAGATTGCTTTAATGCAGGATAATCAGCCTAAAAAAATTGGCGTTTTAGGCAATGCACACCTGCACTACTGAGTCTATTCGACCGCATGCGAACAATGACCACTATGTTTTGTCAAGTTTCCCGGCACCCAAGATAAATATCACATGCCCCAGGGTTTACAAACACGTGCGTGAAGCGATAAGGCCAAACAATACCGTGACCAACTGAAACTAAATAGGAAATTCATATGCATCAATAACCTTCGTTAAGAACCTCTTTATTTAAGCTTCGCTAAGCATCGTAAGTAGAAAATAGAAAAATTATAATATCACGAAATTGTATCCTTTCCCAGATAGTCTGAATTTACAACTTACCGTTTAGACTGTGCATTTTAGCCATGAATGATGTGTGCGTTTCTATGTCTTGTGAAAGTGATGAATACAAGAGATGCTAACTCAACTAAAAAGCTAAAAGCACGTAAGGCTTGAGTGTTCGAGAAATGATATGCATTATGGTTTTAGCCTTGTATCCTTGGAGATGCTGTATTTACATTTTAAATAGAAAGTCACGAATTCAATACCGTCACGTATTGAGTTATTGTGTTTCTACATCGATAAAAATGATCGGAGTAACGTTTTCCCGTCCGTATGATGCCTTCGATTCTGATTAACGTGGACAATTAGATAAATTCGCTGTCGAAATGTGGAGATGTTGATCTTCCAAATCTGCTACATTGTGGATGTTCTCTCTTCCACATAACATTACTTCAATTGATTGCTTCAGTTCTTTAAGTCTAAATGTAGTCAAAATAGGATTTGTTGTTGAATTGACGGACAGAAATATCTCAGAAGTTACTCTTAAAATCAACAGCCAATTCTGCTCGTGGCAGCAGTCGCAGTTTGCTTCAATAAGAATAACGACGAAATAGGGAATCAGACAAATAATCAGACAAAATAAGATTAAAAACGAAGTCGCGGCACATCGATCGATGCTGTTTTTGGAAGTTTTGTACTCTGCGTATATCGCGAAGTACTCGGTTGTTAGGGATCGATGACTGTCTTTGCAAATCAAAGCGAGAGCGGCTCTTTCGCAAAGTTAGGAAAATCCCAGAGTAGGCCATCGTAGTTGCGATAAGAGTGTGTGTAAGTGAATATCGACTAAACGTAAACATTCAGAGACACATCACGAGCTGAAGAGAGGCGAAGATGGAAGAAGAAACAACTATGATCACGTTGCAGAAGACGAGGTGTTTTGGTCTGACTTTAAGAAGATAGAAATGAGGACAAACAACAGAAACGAAACGATCGACAGACATGGACGTAACGAGCAAAATCGAGCTGTTAACTCCGATGTATTCCACTATGATAGGGAAATCCCCCTCTGTAGGGGGAGGATTATCTCCAAATGCACCCCTAAGCCTCATAAGAGCCTCTGCTGAGCAAACGACAATGCCAACGAACAGATCCACCGCAGAAATGAATATCAAAAACACGGAAAAATGTTTCTCTGTACAATGCCACCAAAGTCACACCATTAGAAACTGATATGGGAAATGAAAGTAAGGAAAAACTTATTCCACCCCCGAGACAAATAGACTTCTCAAAATCTCGCTCCATGATGATAAACGTATAAGAGCATCGTTATCAGAGACAGAATATTGTCTTTTAAATGTTTAAAGTCTTCAGGATGGTAAATTGATATCACACACACACGCACACACCCACAAAAAAACTTATGTTAAGCGGAACTTTTCAATCGTTTGTGCATAACGATTACCTTACATACGCCACTAATGCAGTAAAGAAAGAGAGTAAGATGTCTTTTTTCCCGTCACAAGCGTGGGACAAAGAAAAAATTCTGAGTCCCCATGAGGAATTAAACCTTTACCAAGCTAAAACTTAAAATCTCTCTTATTCTATTTAAAATCATGACGCTATCGTCATGGCTGATCCTGGCTGTATGGAGGACGCGTGTCATATGAATTTCGTAATAGACCTCACTCACCGTAGAGTCTGTGTGGATCAGTAGGATCAGTAGTGTAGCATCGGAGCGCGGAATCCGAAGGTCTGGAGTTTGATTCCTCATGGGAACTCAAAATTTTCCTTAATTACACGCTCGTGACAAGACGAAAACATCTTTCTGTCTTTTTGTCTCTATTAATTAGGTGCATATTTAAGCGTAAAAATATTGTTATTATAATAAGGTTGCAGGCAATAATCATGATGAATACACTTGCACATAAAGAAAAAGAAGTTTATTTCCAGGGTGTTGTCACTTTCGCGGTAAATTGCGACATTTCGACTGTGTACTGCGCTTCTTCTTTGGGCGATAAGGTCGGCAGAATATTGCTTAAGTAATGTTTTGATCGTCGGAAACATGCAGTCAATATGTTTTCGAAAGTCGCAATCAACATCAAAAGTGATCACCTTGTCAGAGAAACAATCATACCTCATAAACAAATCAATACAGTTTGCCATATTCTGCGTGACTTGAGCTCTGATCCTCGTAGTCTAAAATTAAGGATTCGTCATTGTTAACTAAATGATAAAATGTCCATGCAGCGAAGACAGGGAACATTCGTATCTAGTGAAGCAAAACACAAATCATTTAATAAACCTATGCTATTATGTCTATTATCACATAAAAGAAGGTATTGATATTATCACTCACACTTTGTGGTGTGTGGCAAAGACAGGTGTGATATACTGTATTTTTTCTGCGCCAGTTAGCTAGAACTAATTAAGAAAGAAAATTCTGGAGACTAATTTTAAGCGGGTTGTATTGGTTCGAAGCAAATCCTGTGATGCCAGCGCTTCAGAAAGACTATAATGATTGTTAGCTGGTTGAATAAAAAAGGACTCACAATGGTCAGTAATCAATAGTAAGATTAAAAACAATGCTTAACGTGGCCACCAAGTTAATATATTAGCCTAAGGCTATGCCAATAAAAGAAATATATCTCTATATATATATATATAAATATATATATTGTTTTTTCTGGCATGTTATTGTTAATCTCTTGCGAGTCTACCGAATGATAATTTTAATGAAACAGTTTCTTGAAATGGTAATTTATGCTCTTCTTATTGTTTTTTTTCTTGAGTGTGAAAGAGTTTCCTAAACCTTACCGCAACTAAATTTCAGCAGAAAGAGCGGATTGACGTCTCTAATTAGCATGACAGTCAATTTCCCGCATTAGATACTTTCCATTAACGGCTCTCTCTGGCACAAAGCAACGCAAGGTGTATCGGTTTTACAAAATAGTGTTCTCTGAAATATTTCTGGAAGAGAACTTTGCTCTGATCTGCAGCATATACAAATTAGAAAAAATAGTCTTTTTCTTCGAACGTGATCCTGACACACACGTAACTCACAAAGAAGTATGATGACCAAAACTTGTCAAATATGGGCAACTACACAACTATTATTAACTTTGCTGAGTGAGTACCAATGTTTAAAGACACGACTTTCTGTATAGTAAGTATAGTTACCACAAGCATATTTCGAGACATGAATCGAAGCTATAGTCCTCCTAATAGCATGCGGAGGAAAAGAGGAGGCTAAGACTGAAAGAGCCTAAGACGTTTTCTGATTATAGCTTGTTATGTACTCTAAGGGAGAGTTCCTCGGTAAACCAGCATATCATACCATAACTAAGCTACTTAATTACTTTTAAGTCTGGTTAAACACAAGGTCCTCCGTGCTGATTTGAAACTCTTGCGCAAAGATGCAAATGAAGGAGTAATTTAAGCACGATTTTTGAGATCAAAGCTATGACAATTCTGGAATAGGTAAATGGATGGTTAACACCTAGCTCTCCACTCCCCATGCTAATGAACATATTGCTGAAGCAGTAGGCACTTAAAAGCCCCTTCTCGGGTCTTCTTGAAAGAATATGCAGATTCTCTTCATCTGTTTCCCGTCCACTTTTGATCGAAATCGCTAGCATAAACATTATCATTAATTTATAAACTTCCTACAATTAGTTGAGTAAACGGCGGTAGAAAAGTCAACTCCACTATACAAAAACGATTTTCAACACGAAGTAGATATTTTTCTCAACAACTAGGAAAAAAAAGATACCAGTTAAACCTCACTAACTAGTCTCATAAGGGCAGTTACTTCTGTGAATAATGAAAATGCAAAAAACATCATGTTTGACCCAAGACATAATTACGATTAAGAGCCGCCTGTCTTAGCAAATTTGGAGTAGATAACTAAATGTCAAATTTGAAGAAAAAATGTATTAAAAATCTCATATGCAGTATTAAATGTTGGAGAAACCAGTTTGATTTGTAAGCGAAGTTATTGATTACCCGCTCAGTCACATTAAATACTGAGCTTCATGATGGTCGGATGTTTGTTGCTAAAAAAGGATAAAGTAAGGCATGAACTGAAACTTCGCGGGAAATTAATTTCGCAATATTGGCGAGGAGCTGTATCGCGGGGTTATATTTTGGCGATTTCAAAAGGCAAATATGAAAAAGGGGCATTGACTTTCGTGATTCACGCGTCCTAGTATTCTGAGGAATATATACGAATAGAGCGAAATCTTTCTTTGCAAGTTAACGTCATTTCAGAGCAAAAGATACAAAATAGAAGTTACCAGCTAATAATTTTAGTATTTGTCGATGCGTACATATCCTTTATATGTTTTGGTGTTACAAATTTATTCTTTTAGTCAGCGACTTGAATTTTCTCAAGAGAGCTTATTTCGCATATCTAAATTTCGCTTTGATTTTCATTCGCAGGTCTTTGATTTGGCGATTTTTTTTTTCAATCGCCCAAAAGGCGAAATGAAAGACCTACGAATTTAGGTACCAATAAGGTAGATATTTCTATGATGTTGTTTTATGGAAGTGTCAAAGAGTATTCGATGTGGAATTAATCTAAGGGTTGTGCATAGCTGTTAATTGATTCAGTAAAATTTGTGAGTCAACTTTATTATTTTCACCATCATGATTATTTGTCAGGCTTAGCGTTGGGTCATCAGGAATGCGACGGAAGTAACGACCCGTGTACAGGAGAATGCACCCCGACGGGCGGTTCAAACGAGCAGATTTGCAAACATGGGAATTATACTTGTAATCTGACATGTAGCCAAGAGAATGGTAAGCAAACTTGTATGGCTAAAAAATGTAATCTAGAATACAGCGGAAACAATTCTTCTCAGCGCTGCATCGGAGAAGTAGAAAGATGCAAAATGGATTGCAACAGAGGAGATTGCGATCAGCTTTGCAACGGGAAAGAATATTGCATTATGCAATGCAGTGGAAAAAAGTGTACTCAACGTTGCAATGGGCCAGCAAAAGGATGCAAAATGAACTGCAGCGGGGAAGAGTGTAACCAGTATTGCAACGCAGAAGAAGACTGCGATATGCAATGCAGCGGGGAAAATTGTACTCAGCGTTACAATGGGCAAGTAAAAAGATGTAATATGAAATGCAGTGGGAGAGAGTGTAAGCAGTATTGCAAAGGAAAAGAGAGTTGCAAAATGCAATGCAGTGATGGAGAAGTGTGTGTAATCAGCTTTGTAACGGAGAAGGAGACTGCATTTTGCGATGTAATGGGGAAGGGTGTGATCAGCGTTGCAGCGGGCAAGCGAAAGGATGCAATGTAACATGCAGCGGGAAAAGATGTAATCAGCGTTGCAACGCACAGGTAAAAAGTTGTAATATGCAATGCAGCGGAAAAAACTGTACCCAGGATTGCAAAAGGCAATTAGATAAATGCAATATGCAATGCAATGGGATTATTTGTGAACAGACGTGTCATGCTCACACATGTAACATGACAAGGTATGGGCCCAGGAATAGATTAACTAAACAGATCTGCAGAAGTGGTAATGGCACATGTTATCAACACATTATGATGCAATGCAGCATGGGAAGCTTTGATATCAACTGTTACAGAAGTGGTCGATGCATAGCCTCCAAACGGCTCAATAGTGACTGCAGCCCTTCAATTTTATACACGTCCAACGTCGTAAAATCAGCCTCGATAACAACAATACAAGTTATCGCAACTCCAACTTCAACAGTACAAGGTAAACAAAATTACCAGGCTTGCAGTGACTGCCCTCGACCGAAAATGATGAAAAGATAACAGTAATAATAATGATGATGATGATGATGATGATGATGATAATACAAATAATACCAATAATAATGATGACAACGACGAGGACGATAATAAATTAGATAAACTTGTTTCATTACAGTGGATACTAACTGCTCATCTCCATACGAGTAATCAAAACAACTGTAGCAGAGTGGTCATAAAAGCAAATCAAATTTAGAACAGAATTTTAAAGCAGCTCAGCAATTATACTAAAACAGTTATTCGCCTCAGGCTCCGTGAATATTGTTGAGTAATCCTTGAGACTCTGATGGTCGAATAATGATGATATTAATAAAAATAACCATAATAACAATAATTATAATACTGGTTAAGAATGTATGAAAGTCATATATTTGAACTGCGGATAAAGACATGAATGAAAGTGATCCTCGCAGTAATGTGCACTACTTAGGCAGTAGTGAAAATAAGGCCTGAAAAAAATTCAGAGATTTGAACCCGTGACCTCTGCGATACCGGTGCAGCGCTCTACCAACTGAGCTAAACTGGGAGCTGGTCATGATGTTGTTGAATTTTTTTCAGGCCTTATTCTTATTCTCAACCGTTTATTCATCACTTCACAGGTTTTTTCAGAACCAACATGACCAGCTCCCAGTTGGCTTGCTAGCTCAGTTGGTAGAGCGCTGCACCGGTATCGCAGAGGTCATGGGTTCAAATCCCGTACAGGCCTAAATTTTTTTCAGGCCTTATTTTCACTACTGCCTAAGTCGTGCACATTGCTGCGAGGATCACTTTCATTCACAATTATAATACTTGTACAAATAAATATAATGAGAACAATGTCAGAATTTTTTGCTCCACCAAAAATTGTTAAGACCCCTACATGAAATATCCCACTTAGATTTCTCGTGTTCCAAAC